TATTGATGGACTAGCAAAGGATGATTCGCTAACAGGTAGAGAAAAATAGTTTTTTATATATAAAAACAAAATTACTTATTCAGATTTAAAATTTATTTTTTATAATTCTGTAAGTGTAAATTAACATTTATCCGATAAGAGCTTAAACGATCACCTTCTTTCTATATTCAAGTATTCAAAAGTTTTATTTGTTTATTTCAATTTTAATTAAAACTAAATAATAGTTATAATTTAAGCAGCAATTTATTTCTTCGCTTTTACCTTTCTCTTAGCACACATTATTTTACGGACATCTAATTTAATTTTAGCACCAGTTTGAGATTTTACTCATTTTTGTGAAGTTTACACATTTTTGTTTTTTTATTTTAAAATACTGCATTACTTAAATTTCTTCAGTACTTGGTTTTCTCGTTCTACTACTTAATAATGTTACTACCAAATTGTTTTCCATACTTATTCACTTTTTTATAGTTTGAAATGTAATGCTGTATTATTTTTGCTATATTATATTACTATTTCGTAAGGACTATAATAATACCAATTCCATGTTTGCCGACGATTTCCGTAACGCCTAATTTTATTTTATATGATTAAGGTTCTGATATGGATTCTGAAAACTAATTATGAAATGACAAGCATTTGAATTTTTTAATTATAAGAGCTAAATTATTTGAGTAAAAGGACTGAATGTGTTGAATAAAAATGTCACTCATATTTGCTATAGTGTAATAGAAAAAATAAAAAATTTTCATTCATTATATATTTTTAATGCGAAATTACTAAAATAATTACACAAGGTTTATAGCTATAGTTATTGAAAAATTGAAATAAGAAGACCTTATTTCAAAGCAGATGTGTAAAGAAGATTATGAAAAGTTTAATTATACCATAAAATTTTATATAGGCAACAGAACAATAAGATATTAATTCCATTGTAGAAAATTCGGCCCCATTTACATAAGTTACTTCTAGTGAAATATGCAAATAATGTCATTATACATTCTATTAATAAAGAATACGACACTAAAATAATGATAATTATGTAATAACATTTTTGGTTTTTGAATTTTTATTTCAGAAAATTTTTAATACTTTCATGATCTAACCGTTCCAGAGTACCTTTTTTGAGAAACAGCATTACTATTACCCTTTGGTATTTTGTAACTTATTGAATTTATTTAAAAGATTTCTTGTTAAGGAGAAAATTCATTTCCGAGATGTGTCATTTTTAAATTAAAAGTAGTTTAATTTCATAAAATAAAAATAATAATCATGAACTTTTCGTATCGTTAAAAAAACCTACAAATATCATTGGAGCTTAACCTAAAATAAAGCGAAACAATCCACCACTAGTTATTCGAAAATAAATACATCACTTAAATGGTTTAACATCATATTTATTTAACTCCTTTGAATAAAAAAAATTCTGCTTGTGATTAATCAGGAATTACACAATTTCAGAACAAATATTAAACTTTTAAAGAAACCTGGGTTGGCGCACGAAATAAACAAGATCACATACATTAAGATAGATTTATAGTTAACTAGAAATTCAGGATCATGCTTAGAAAAATTATCTTATGCCTGCAGATTTCTCTCTTGATAACATAGTTCATCACAAATGTTTTTATCTAGTCCATATACATATACGACACATAGTACACTAGTACATAGCACAAAGAATATTCCGGAAAGGAACATGAGTACCACTCATGCTATTTGACACAACGTAGTGGCGGTCAACGTAGTTGCGGAATTCATTCGGATACCTGGGAGTCATTTCGAGAATATTCGGTTGATTTTGTCGAGGAAAGAATCGGACACCGGAGAGATATCTGCGAATTCGGTGGAACTTATTATTCCATTGTTCTAGCAGTCTACTTTAAGTCTTCCGAAGAAACGCGACCCCCGAAGAAACGTGAGTGTTCCCCGGTCTTTGCTTCGAAAGCTCATTTCTGGCCCTTCACTGCAGTGCGGAGGTGCCAGATTTCTTCTTAAAAGTTGATCGCCTCCTTTTCCTCGTCACCTTTGTTCTCCCTCGAAATGCAGATTATTTAGGTCCTTCCTCCAACGAGCCGCTTTCATCGTCCACCACTACATGGCCATTTTGCTGTCCGTCCACTCCGTGCCGTCCTACGTTGAGATGGAAGCGTTTATTCAATACTGGGCCTGTCGCTATGCCCGAGCTCCGGCACAGGTAACTTTCTTACGGCAAGGGGAATATTTCTTTACCTTAGAAAGGAAATTGCCTAAGTTTCGCAAAGTTTCTATATTCAATATACATGAACCACATCTTTTACAATTCCAGAAAATGAAAACATTTAAAATCGTTCTTTCGAATTCTCACTCCTTTCTAGAATGTTCTTTCATGTTCTTTGCTTAAACTTCAAGCGAGTAATATAATTATTATTTGCTTTACAAATTAAAATTTATATAAATAGTTAGAAATCAGTTCTTTAAAGTAAAAATTTAAATAAATAAGAAAGTAAAAATTGTCCTCATAATTAATAGTCACTAAAATGACATAGCATTCTTATTCGTTTTAAAACAGAGGAACACGTCTCTCTTGATATAATATTAACAAGCATCGTTAAGTAAATTCTTAACAGTATTTCAGTATCGGGAAAAGAAGATGCAATTTTGTTATTTGTAATGAAATTGAAGATTTTATTCGGGCTTTGTGCGATATTTTTGTCAATGAAGTAAGGTATGTTAGCTGATCATCTAATTCTTCAACATTAACTTCATTGATGTAAACTTGTTTTTGTATAGATTATATATTCTTTAAATACATAAATTTTGTAAAATGTATCTGAAATATTCTAATTTCTTTATATTTTCTACCAGTTTTGCTAGGTTACTTAGCAGCGTTATATCTCATTCATTTTATAACTTAGAATGCAAACAAAAATATATCATCTGAAGAATTATCTAATCTTTGCCACATATTCCATAAAATACTATAATAAATTTAAAACCATGTATAAAAGAAATTAAACAAATAAAAAATGAACAGTTTTTCCACAGACGATTCAACGCTGCTTACCTAATGCGCATGCACTAATCGTAAACATTCTCCTCTGTCCGAAACAGACTGGCTACAGTATTTTCTGCTATTACGAAACACTTATTTCTTCGAATGTATTTCCCATTCAATTAATTCAGTTTTCACTCTTTCGCAAGGCAAAAATAATAAAAACACAAAATATCCTCAATAAAAATTTAAAGACATACAAAAAATAAAACACCAAATACAGTTAAAAATTTTACAATTAAAATTACAGTTTCTACACAAATATAAGCAATTCAGCCAGCGGGCGAGAATACAGATTTTTCGGTGCACAAAACTGAAAGATACTGAAGGCGCAGAAACTGATTTCATTTGTTGTTGACGCTATGCTCAGTCAATATATGGGATAATTTAAGAACTTAAATTATAATTACAGAACGGATTAAATGGTTTAACATCATATTAATCTAACACCTTTAAGCAGAATAAAAAATTCTTTAAGCAGAATAAAAAATTCTGCTTGTGATTAATAAGCAATTACACAATTTCAGAACAAATGTTAAACTCGCAATTAAATTCCCAATAATAAAAAAGACGTTACTTGTTGGTGCGAAGCTTAGTTTCTCTAGATTGGCAATAAATCCACTATTCTTCTAAGTTTCAAATGTAAACAAACATAGCTGCTAAACATATTGGGCTTAGCCGAACTTAAAAACTTGATAGTTTTACAACTATAACATGCAAGTTAACTAACGGCATAAAAATCTTAACCAGAAGATAAGAACAACATAATTCAATAATTTTTAAAACAAAAATATACAATTTACAAACATATAAGAATAAAGAAATTGAGTTCACTGAGCCAAGTACCACAGTGGATATATATAGATATAGATATATTAATACACTTTTGGTGCAGCCGGTTGTAACCACCAAGGGAGGTGCACATCTAGAAGTTATTCCAGTCCCACATACAAAATTTCAACGTTCTGAGGCTATTCGTTTTTGAGTTAGGCGAGATACATACATACATACGTACGCACGTACGTACGTACAGATGCCACCAAAAAAATGTCTTCAGAATCCATTTTAAATCAGTTTTATATTTCGTTTGGGGGAAAAAGAGTCGTTTATTCTGTCCTTACGCACAGATGTCACATAAAAACACCTTTAAACTGCATTCGATAGCTGTCAAAATGGTTATTTTTTTTGAAATATGATAACCGGAATTTTTCATGATTACAATACTTCCTTTAATAAGTACAAGGAAGTAAAAAAGGAAAATAATTTATTTGTCGCTGATAAAAATCGTAGTATGTATAGCGCGCAACATTTTGGAAAAAGAAATCAGTAATGCATAATTAAAATGTATTTTGTAACAATAATAGAGTAACTTTTCTTAAAAAAAAAAAAAAAAAAAAAAAAAAAAAAAAAAAAAACATTTTTTGACCGAAATTGAAATTGACTATTTTTAACATAAAAATTAAATGCAAAACTAAAATTTTTAATTGAGAAAAAAAAAAAAACAGTTGGACATCTTACGAATATAAATTTCATAATGATCTTGCATTAATTTTATGCTAAAAAGTGGTTTCAGGTTTCAAAATTTAAAAAAGAACTGTTATTTAAGAGAACGTAGTACTAATGTATTTAAAATACGTATTTTTAAATATAATACATTACTTCTCATATTATAGTCATAAGGATTCGCACATTTAGTCCTAATGTCTTAAACTTCTGATCAGTTGTTTCAGGGAAATCATGTGAGCAAACTGGAAAATTAGGCTTTGCGAATTATGGCTTTTAATTTAATTATTATTTCTTTCGTGCAGAGTTCGAGGAACTATTAACAAGGCAAGAACAGCTGCTTTTAAATCTTTCATTTCTGAGTGCAAATTGTACAGATAATTGAATAAACTTATTTGTCACCGATAAAAATCGTCAAAAATTTGGATATATTTTGATATTTTATTTTTGATTATTCTTTCAGTCGTGTGTACACTTCATGATATGAAGGATGAAAGTGTTGTCGACATGGAAGAACTGGGAATCTTCGATACTGGCTGTCCATTTGATTATCCTCGTATGGAAAGAGCAATTAGCCTGAAACCACATAGTAGAGAAAATATTAACACAGAATTCAGCCTTTTCAGCTCAACAAATAAAGATATTTCCGAGAAAATTAATAATACACATTTTTTTTGCTGGTCTGAGCAACATAAAGGTTTTCCCCGTGCGATTGAAACCTATTTTATTTTACGGGATTATCTTGGAAGAAATTCAGAATGGCAACTAGTAAGTAAATTATCTTCGAAAATCACCTACTACTAATTCGTTCTTCTGAATGCTTTGTTTGTACTTTTTGAACCTTCCTGTCACACAGGTTTGACTAATGGGAATTGTCTCTATTTTAAGATCCACCTCTCGGTTAAATTATTATACTTTCTAATTTATGATGTGCTTGTTTACAGCGCTAGATAATAATTTTTTTATAATTTGTTTGTTTGATAATTAGCCCAAAGGGCTTTAGCCCATAAGAGCTATTAATTTCTTTTTGGCATTTTGCGTCGTCCACTTTAAAATGGCGTTTTACTTTTCAAATTGTTGCCACCAAATATTACAGCCCTGCATTATATTTAAAGAAAACAAATAATGAAGAATCTACATGAATGTAGTTCGCATTGTGAAAAAACAAAGGTACCTATAGACCTCAAATTTTGAATAAAGTAATCCTCCTCCGAATAGCGGCATTCTGAAGCCCAAATTTCGAATTTGAAATTCATTTTATTGTTTAGTCCATATTTTGTAAAGCTTTAACGAATTCTTGATTAAGAAATTTATCGATTTCAAAGCAAGCAATGACAACACAATTCAAAGCAAGCAATGGCAACACTGTATGAAAAAAAAATTATCTCCAGCGCGCGAGACTGCATATCGGAAATTCTAAAGATATGCTGTCTTTAAACATTTTGTGATACTGCTGTTGAATTGAATTTTATGTTTTAAATGCGAAGAACATGATATTTAACAAATAAAGTTAACACACAAAACGTTAAAAATGGATCTTTGGGCGTAATATAAAATTTGAAAGCCTTCAGATTAAAAGAAAATAGCAATTTAGTATAACTAACATTTTACATTAAAATATAAGTGTACGTTAGCAAATCAAGATGAAAGATTAAGAAATTTAAGCTTACTGCTTCAGATTTGTAAGAAACTATGTTTTCAGAGAAAAATAAATTAACTTAATAAATTTATTCGCAAACATATCAATATTCAGAAGGTGTTCGCCGAAATCATTGCGACAAGATTCCAGGCATAAAATAACTGATTGAAAAATTAAATAAACCTCATAAGTTTAATTTAAGTGAAAAATTAAATAAACCTCATATATCATATTTATGAAATTTCATAAATCGATGTTGCTTGGTATCACTAAATTTGCAAATTTAACATTAGTAATAAATTACAGAGGAAAAACAGAAAATGTCTGTCATTCCTTAACCATATTTCATGTATAGTAAATACTTAATCATAGTAGTTCTGTTTCTGAATTTTCTTTTCATTAAAAACGTGAGTTAACAAAACTTATTTTCCCTTTAACTAATCGCTTGTCCCAGGCTTGAATAGGATTAATCGATTTATTCCAATAACTCGCTGTATATTTACTACACTCTCTGTATTCATTCAATAAACATCTTGTAATGAATGTGTTGCTTATCAGAGGTTAAAGGATGCCATTTTGAAGACAAGGGCTTGCAATGTATTCGTCGTCGACTGGTCAGACGATAAAGAACAGCATTACGAACAAGCGGTTGCAAATATACGAGTAGTAGGAGCTGAAGTTGGTCTTCTTATCGAGCGTCTGGTGGTAAGTTGGCATCAGTTGTGTTCTATTTTTTATCCACTAAATATTCCTTTTTTAATGATATTATTTATATTTAAAAAATACCTGGTTAACCAATAAAATTTCATCATGAAAAAAAGCAGATGATCTAAGCAGAATTTATATAATAGATAAGATAAAAAATAATTAAAAGTGTAGCCTCATATGCAAATGAAGGGTGTTTGTAACTCCACCTAGAATCAGTGTGAAAAACAGCAAAGGAAAGAGCGTACTAATGAACTCATAGCCAAGTCAAGTTTCCTGCTTGTTTATTTGACTTTAAATAGATAGCATACATATAAAAATAACTCGGAACTCACAATGCTATGTACAGCAAGGATAATAACAGCGCACCTTTATTGTGGATTATCATATCTTCAAAGTACGTATCTTCAAATACATCTACTGGTTAAAATTCGACCACTATCACACTAGTACGGAATTGATGAGTTAAGAAAGAATGGACTGAGCGACATACAAGTACACAGTGATATTTACAGACTAATATCTAAGAAAACAGTAGTCAAGTGCAAATGGCTCATATCCTAGGACCACAGAGCTACTTCACGCATCTTAATTCAGGCAGTCCTATGAATGTAACAACGTAGGCTGTAGAGTAATACAGTGTTTATGTCTTTAACGGTACAGCAGAGGCATGTGCAGTTGAAATGGAGTGTTGAACGACGCAGACAAGCACATGGAAGTTATGAAGCCATTTTGTTAAACGAATTCTGTTTTTGCATGCCGTATCAAGATGGAAGATCAAGTATCAAGATCTGAAGACGGCCTTAATGGAAGATCAAGTATCAAGATCTGAAGACGGCCTTAACCTGGACAATGTAAACTGGAACCTTACGTTACTTACCAGCTTACTAACCCAACAACAGGAGCTACGAGTGAAATGCGTTTGAATATGGATCTGGGTTTCATCTGCTTCTCTTACCTGAAACTCTGACTAATCAGATGATTTTACAAAGAGTTAATACCTGTAGTTTTTTTGAAATCTTCAGAAGCACACTACAGCCACCCAGGAACATTCGCTACCACAAGTCGCAAATTGCTTGTAGGTGGTTGGCTGGTATGTAAACCTAATATCACAGAGGTAATACTTAAAAATTAAATTTTGTAAAAATATACAAAATAAGTTATTTTCAGAATGTTTTAAAATTCACATGCTGAAAAAAAAAGAATATTATTTAAAAAGCGCTGTTTATATTAATAGAAAAAATACTTTTTTAAAAAAACTGGTATCGATATATGCTGCAAATTAAAAAATGATCTCGCAAAAGCTACGAAATGGAAACACGTACAAGCATTTCTCGCTATAATAACTGATAAGCGTTTAGAGGAAAACTTATTTACTAATATTTGAGTCTTTGCAGTAAGATATATTCGTGACTAATGTACATATTGTAAAAAACTAACTTTTATATTTTATATACATCTACTAGCAATGGTCTCAGTGTTTTCTATTATTCTTAAATTTATATAATGAACGCAAATAATATATCTTTATTTATTACCAAATTTTTATATAATATGTAAATTGGTTGATGCTCATATTCACTTGAATAAAGGTTTTCTAAATATTGGTGGAAGCTGCAAAATTATTCCAAAGTTCATTAGACCATCGAAATATTGAGGAAACTTTTACATAAGTCATGTATTTATTTAAAAAGCTGCCTTTAAACACCAGTTATATTTAATAATTTCTATTACGCACATTCTCTCAAAGTAAACAAAATAAAATATTTAATTGACTATACTTAAATGACCAGCAAAAAAAAAAAAAAAAAAGTTTTGTAATAGCATTAAAACGCTTCATCGATATACATGGTAATGCAGTAGAATGAAAAAAATCTCTGCCTGTTTTTCATAAACGCCATTGTCTTGACATTTAATGAAAAGAGTGAGGAATTAATTTATTCTGAAAACGAAAAAACATTGATGACTTCCCATTCAGGTATTATATATATAGACCAAATTAAACATTGAACCTTTCGAATCCTTTTTATTAAAAAAAAATTTAAATATTTTCTTTCTAAAGGACATTTCCAACTGATTCTTTTCCGGTATTTTGCCCTAAAATTGCTTAATACGAATTAGTTCTCTGGTGTCTTTCTCCGATCTTTAAATAAATTCATGCCTGTATGAATGTATACAGTTTTCCATTTCTCAACTCTTTATTTGGTACGGTTTCTAAAACGAAACATGTGTTTGTATCGTTTCCCAGTTAAAGGGTTATGTAAAAATCTTAAAAATCACTGTTTGGCATCACATTTGAAGACAAAATTTCTTATTTCTTCTGTAATACAATATGTTATTATATTGTTGCGTTATTTTCTTCCTTCACGTTCGTACGGGGTTTGTAGATTTGGAGTGAATAACGACGACACTTGATGACGTATCGAAACACGTTTTATTAGCCAGTATTGTCAGGACAGCTCCAAAAAAAGTTTTACAGTCGCTGATGAACTACTATAAACACGCTGGCACGATCAGCGACACAGCCTTCAGGTTATCAGGCTATCACGGTGGAGACAGCTTTCTGCAAAGCAGCCGACTCTGCTTTCCGGAGTACACCTCCCGACTCTGCTTGATCGTTCTTGGAACTCCACGTACTCTCGAGACTCTCCACGCTACAACTCGCGATGCACTCGACGACACACGAGCACAGCTGCCGACTCTTCGGTTCAGTCGTTCCCGGAACTCAACACGCTCTCTCGGCGATGCATTAGCCGCGATACACTAACAAACTCCTTTGGTGCACTCGACGACCCACTCGGCACTCGCTGCCCGGCTGTCAACTCGATCGACTCAGCAGGGATTGACTCTAGATGAGACACCAACTCGACACTGACTCTCCACTCTAGCGAGGTACACACACTTAATGACTGACTATCGGTTCGCTAGACGAGGCACAACTAACTGAACTGAACTCTTCGCGTACCAGCAGGGTTTATATAGCTTTCGGCTTGTGTTCGAGAACGTTCTGGGCTAAACCAGTAAGAATTCGTTCCAGAAGGTTCTCCATCCGTCCATGGTATAACGCCAATTTTGTCGCCAAATGGGCTATTTCTCGCCAAATGTGGCAAATTTTCCTTCTTATGCCATTTTTATGGCAACCCTAGAAATGCTTTGCGGGGAAGCTATCTCACCGCGGCTGTACATTTCGTAACAATATATTATTACCTCTGGAACACTATTATACTTCTGTAATAAAAAATACTTATTTCTTCTGCAAACGCCAATCTTATACCGTGCGATTCTTTCTATTTGAACAGCCCAGTTATAATTCACATTTATTAAGAGCTATCCTCAGGTTGGATTGCATTAATGACTATTTAACCAGCAATTTTTAATAAAATTCACATGTTAGTGTTACTGATACAGAAAATTAAAAGAGTCTCTTGCTTCATCCGAATATCGGAAGTATAATTCAGATTAAAATATTGTTATGTCGATAATTTCAATTATTAATATGTGTTTCAAGTTATTATTATTCTAATAGGAATATGTTATGTCGCGAATTTCAATTTTTAATATGTGTTTTAAGTTATTATTATTCTAATATTTTTATTTGTATTCATGTGTATTTTAATCTGGAAAAAAAGTATTCTTAAGCTCTTAAGGTTTTATTTAACTCATTATTCTTGAGTAGGAATTGTAACAAAGGCGAGAGACGGTTGCGAGGACACACATCTGGTTTATGGCCTTTTCAACAATGGAGGCAGTAGGGTGTAATGTGTCGCCCTTTTAGCTAATGCGTGTGAAACGGAAATTCGTTTCGTCCTTGTCGCTTTGTAAAAGTTTGCAGTTTTATTACTTCAAGACAGTGGGGGGGGGTGTACTAAGGTAATAATTGGATGCTCGTAAAAGCTAGTTTCACTTGTTAGTTGGGGGGTCTATTTTTTTTTCTCACGTTATGTGTGCAGATGTTTTTCGGATTGCATTGTCAGATTTTCTGGTGTTTGATTCGTCATGGGTGTGTCATTTTCTCAATTTAGATAACATAAAATTCCGGGATTGGTAAGATATTAATTTTATGATTTTTTTGAAAGCCTATGAACTCACAGAGGCGGAGAAACCGAGATTTTCCTGGGTGCTTGCACCAGGCTAGAGTTCATTCTGATTCTGATTTTCAAGAAGAGTAAGAGGAGAAAAAGTGGGGGCTTGACCCTTCGGGTCTTGCTTCTCGCGAGCCGCGTGAACAGCCGGCAGAGGGTATGATTTTTCTCTCGGCTTTTAGCTGGCGAGAATTTGCGTTGGCATAAGGCATAGAGCTCAGCAGAAGAATTTCGATTTCTCTTATCCCAAGAATTGTTCGGCAGATTCTCTTGGTGATCCTGACATCCTGATGCGGTATTCCTGTTTTTTACCGGCTTTGACTTCCTAATTAGATTTTGTTCCAAAGGTGTGCTCTACGCTTATGGTGAGTTTCGGGGCTTCCAGAATGAAAGAGACTCGTGTAGGACCCTTCTAAGGTGTGTGCATTGCTGTTTATTCTGCTGCCTGTGCCAGCTGCGTCGATTTTTTTTTCATCATTCCATGCTCTGGAATTTATTTATTGTAAGGACAGCTTCAATGGTGTTGCAACCAAGTCATCTTTAAAATTCGCAAGAACTGTCTGCCTCCATTAACGATGATTTTGTGAATAAAGGACAGCAGGAATAATGTGGTGCTCGAGTAAACTTTGGACGCTGGACGATCTGTAGAGCTGTCAAATCACCTATTAAATCAGTATACGAAGGTATTCCCGAGTAAGTGAGTGTTGCAGTTTGGACTTCACCCCGTGAGTGATTTTTTTTATTTTTTACTTCAATAATTATCTTAATACTCAAGCAAGAGTCGTCATTTTAATGTTGTTGAAATTTGAGCAATTACTTAATTTAATTAATCGATGTGGAAATTAGTGTTCTAAAGTAAATTACCATGATAAATACTTAAAGTTAGAAGATGAAATGGGAGAAAATAACTAGTGTTACACTTATGATACAGTAAGAATTTGATAATGATAATCTTAATTAATATAAGCTGTAATTTGGTGTAGTATTATGTGTTATTTTGCTTAGAAAAAAATATGTATTACTGATCAGTTATCCATTATTTAATTATATAATATATATTCAAGAATTCAATAAATGTGTGTTTAAAATTTAATGGCATTTGTGTATTTATGCTGTGTATATTTTACTGTGGTCTGTCATGTCCCTCCATTTGTTTGAGCAGGGAGGCTTTTAAGAAACATGGAGTTTAATTGAATTTGGAGTTATTGATTTTCCCTTTACATAGGTTACTCACAACGCAAACCTAAAAGTAAATTGTACTATACCACTATACGATTGATTGATTGATAGATATGATATACAATTGATTGATAGATTTACTATACGAATGTTTATAAGAATGTCGATATGATATTTGATTATTATGAAATAGATTTTGAATGTTTTGAATTATTTGATATTTCATTTTTGATTTTTTTTTGTTAATTTTGTCCGGCACCTTGCAGCAAAGTTTAAAGTTTAAAGGTATTTAAACACCAAATAAAAATTTTCTATTTAACAGTACAAAGTTCTGCCATTGATTTGTTGGTTGTATGGGTGTTAACTCACAGAGGCGGAGAAACCGAGATTTCCTGGGTGCTTGCACCAGGCTAGAGATCATTCTGTTTCCTGATTCTTTCAAGCTAAGAGTAAGAAGAAAACGAATGGCGGGGCTTGACCCCTTTGCGGGTCTTGCTCTCGCGAATGCCGTGTACCAGCGGGCGGCGGTCTTGAATTTTTGTCGGCTTTCAGCTGATGAGAATTTTGCTCGAGTTGAGACTAAGTGCTTATGCAAAATATAGCTTTGCTGCTGCTTCGTTATATTTTCCCAAGAACTTTAATTTGACATTCTCGAGGTTACCTTAATACAGATTTTGTTGTAGCGTTAGCGTTCCTGATTTAAAAGCAGTTGGACTAGCTGTTGAACTATCTAAAACTCCGTATTAATCCGTCGATGATGGCATTCTCGATCTCTTCGAATGGTCAACGAAATGAGTAGGACGATCTGTTGAACTATCTAAAACTCCGTATTAATCCGTCGATGATGGCATTCTCGATCTCTTCGAATGGTCAACGAAATGAGTAGGACGATCTGTTGAACTATCTAAAACTCCGTATTAATCCGTCGATGATGGCATTCTCGATCTCTTCGAATGGTCAACGAAATGAGTAGGACGATCTGTTGAACTATCAGCACTCCATATTAATCAGTCGATGATGGCATAGGAGTTTAATGTATGAACTTCACCCTGTGAGTGAATTTTTTTTTCTGTCTTTTGTATTTAAATTGTAACCGAGTAATGATACTATATTAATATACGGTACAACCGCCTAAATTGTGAGTTATGTAATGTTAAAAAAATTTAGTACACCTAACATGAGTATAAGATTTAAAATGATATATATGTTAATTTACCTCTTAAGGTTAATTTGTAGGGGACTGATCAGTTTACCTAGTTATCATATGTTTGAATATTCTAGAAATTAATAAATGTGTTTGATATGTATTTTATGTTTCATTTGTTTAATTTAGTGTAGTTTCTGTGGTCTGTCATGTCCCTCCATTTGTTTGAGCCGGGAGGCTTTTAAGAAACCTGGAATTTAATTGAATTTGGGGTTATTGATTTTTCCTTGGCATAGGTTACTCACAACGCAAACCTAAAAGTTAGATTGTACTACCACTATACGATTGATTGATTGATAGATTTACTATACGAATATTTATAAGAATGTCGATATGGTATATGAATATTATGAATTAGGTTTTGAATGTTTTGAATTATTATTATTATTTTTTTTTTTTTTTAGTCCAAAGGGATCTGAATCCCGAAGGACTATTAGTTTCGTTTTGGCATTTTGCGTCGGACTCATAAATGTCGGTTCGCTTTTCAAACTGTTGCCACAAAATGTTAGAGTCCTGCATTATATTTGAAGAAATTAAATAATGAAAAATCTGCATAAATGTATGTATATTTCTCGTATTGTGATAAAACAACGGTACATAGAGTCATCGAATTTTGAATAACGTAATCCTCCAACGAATATGAGCATGTGGAAGACCAAATTTGAAATTTGAAATTTGTTTTATGATCGATTTCCTATTTTTTAAAACTTTGACGAATTTTTGATTAACAATCTCAAGGATTTCAAAGCGAGCAATGGCAACGTTGTGCAGAAAAAACATTTTTTATCTCCAGCGCGTGAGTCTCTGTATCGGAAATTCTAAAGATATGCTCGTTTTAAAACTATTTTGCGATATTGCTGTTGCACTGGATCTTATGGTTTAAGTGCGAGGAACATGATATTTAATAAAGAAAGGTAACACACAAAATGTTAAAAAACGCCCCTTTGGACGTAATTTAAAATCTGAAACATTTCAGATTTTTTTTTTTTTTTTTTTTTTTTTTTTTTGTAAATTTATTCGGCACCACAGTCAGCAAAGTTATCAGTTAAGTTAAAGTTATAATGGAATAAGGTATTAAAACACCAAACATAAACATTTAGATATAACAATATAGATAGACTGCGTTAATAACAACTCATCCGTGATGCATAGATTTATAATAAAGTACGTAGCTTTCCCTAGAAACCATGTACTTTATTACAAATCTATGCGTCGTCGGTGACTTTTCGTGATATTAATAAACATTACTGGGATGTTTTCATAGTAGTAATGGTGATCTGTATAGGTATTATTTTCCAGATGTAACACTTTTTTTAATTTTATAGAGTAAACTGAATAATAATGTTGCTTTATTCATCAACAATTACAGGTTTTTCAATATATTTTAATGAATAACCAAGAATTTTATAAGTTTCTAATAAAATTTAATTTTGTTTCAGTATGTCTTGAAATTCGATCCAGGGCAGGTGCATATCATTGGCCATGGCCTTGGCGCCCATGCAGCTGGATATGCCGGCAAATGGTTCCAAAATAGACAAAACAAGTTAATTGGTAGAATTACAGGTAAAATAAAAGTTTGTTTTCCACTCATAGTACAATGAAGTCTTTAAATTTGTTTTATTCAAACAACCACTAATACAAGCAATCTTATCATATACTGACTGACCTCTAAAATACCCATTTTCATCAGCTCGCAAATATTAAAGACACATTTTTAATCCAATGGTAGGAGCAACTCGTCAGGAATGGCCAAAGCCAAAGGACGTTTGGTCATCTCATTACCAAGAATGTCGCCTTAAGTTCAATTCAGGAATCAGAACGATGCAGCACTCGCGAAAAGAGAGAAAAGACACACACCCAACTACACAGCTTTTAGATTGAAATTTTAGCGCCTTGGAGTTTCGGACTGGCTGCCAGCCTTCGATAATCACTACACCCTCCAGAATGACATTATACGTAGATAATTCTGATATGATTCATATTTATAAAATGTAATTTAAGAACATGAATAATAAGATTACTAAGAAACTTGAAATAAAATACAACGACAAAATATTATAATTAGATGCAGTTGTTTAGTATTCATTCTTGAATTATTTCTTCTCAGTTAAACTGTCTGGCAACAATCAGATTTTATATACTCAGTTTGCAACCCTGGCATTGCGTCAGCAATTTTAAACTTTTCGCGACTGGTATGTTCTATAAAATAATTTCAACTGATTTGCAAAGTAGAAAATAACGTCTTTATATAGTATTTTTGTCAAAAGAAGGTTCTTATGAAATTAGAATTTGTTTTGCGGATAGGATGTAGAGTCACTAGGATTTTCTTGAAGCAGGAAACACGAGTAATGAGCAATGCCCTCGCCGGGACTCTAACCTGGACCTCTCGAGTACGCACCGAGTGTGCTACCGTTATACCACGAAGGCATGCAGAAAGGAGGGAGAAAATACCTTATAAGGAGGGATAAGAATAAAAGAGTTTTACTACTAAATCAGTCATAATCAGACATACTGAGTTGTTTGAAATACATATAATTTTGTTTCTATATTGTCTATGGATAGATAAGACATGATGAAATTAGTTTGAAACTAAAATTATATAATTACTTTCATATTATTTAAGTGATATGCATTTGATAAGATATATTAAAAACATTTTGGAGCTCAGAGTAGCCAAAATAATATATCTAAGTACATAATTATATCGTCCCTCAGGTTTAGATCCAGCAGGCCCCTATTTCAATGGCGTACATAAAGTAGTGAGATTAGATAAAGGTGATGCTAAATTTGTTGATGTCATACATACCAACATGGAGGGGGAACTTTCGTCAGGTATGCTGATTTATCATCCTTTGCAAAATACTGTAAATTTTATTCATCCAAATTTTAAATATGCAGAATTTACACAGTATGAGCCACATTTTCTTCCTTGAACAAAAATCAGTATGTTGTTACACTATTTGAAAAATTTAAATTTGATATTAGAAGCATTTATATTTTAGTTCTTCATTTACTTGCTTCCTGTTAAGTTACATTACACTACTAGAATTCATGTGTTTTGAAATAAACCAAACTGCTACTTTTCATTAAATATTGCAGCACTATTGTAATTAAGGTTGCAGTGCTATCCGTTATGAATTATGGGAAGGTTTTAAGAATAAACTTAATAATAAGATCAAATTTTCTTGAAGTTAACGAAATTTTAATGTACTACAATGCATTTTTAAGGAACAAATTTAAAATTTACGAATTGAAATTTACGAATACATATGATACACAAATAACCTCTAATGTAGGAAACAAACAAATATAATTTCTTCAATCTTATTAGGCAAAATTACCAAGCAGTATTATTCGTTTAGTTTCAGGATCACTCGAATAAAACTAGTTTAATTCTTGCCCTTCTAATTGAAACAAAAGTGGGCTTCGTATTCAGTAAAGCATTTTATTTGAAAATGTTTATTTAGCATTCAATTTTTTAGAACCAAAGTTATTAAGCTTTAAGTAAACTAATTAACTTAAGCTAATTGATATAATTTTATTAAAATGAAATACTGCAATCATAAGATAAATCAAGTCATATAAATTTCTGTTACTTATATTTATTACGCGTATATTTATTTCGCATTTACGAATTTATAACGCATTTACATCCATGTCAAAAAATAATCTTTATATGTATGAAAAAAAGGAATTCTTCGAAACTTTGAACAGTTAATATATATTAATACTAAATGTGTATTAACAAACGATGCTGATCGTAGAAGAATATGCATAAAAACATAATAAATCATGTATTATTATACCCACGCATGATACATGATTTATTACTTTACAGAGCAGTATTTGCTAAAGGAATTATGTGCGCACTGGAATCAAATTACACTCATGCCGAAAATTATGTTTACATGCTTGAAATCACGCATTTCTTCCAAGAAACTGTGAACTACAATTTTATGAATTTGTGTAGAATCGTACATAACAACATGACTCACAAATATATATATATATATATATATATAAAAGAGCATTGTATATGTTATAAAACTGTAGCATGAAACAATAAAAATTGTACTACTAATAAGATAATAATAATGAAATTGTAGTATTTACAATACTACAATTGTTACATGCCTTAAATTAAAAAATTAAAAGGAGAATTCAGAAAAAATAAAGGTTGCGAATTTGTAAGGTTATTATTTAAAATTAACCTGTTATTTATAATTTCAGTCTTTACTATAACTTCTTTCAATTTCCTCACCAGAATATAAATGAGGTAGATACTATTTGATAGTTTTCATCACCGAAACGGTCACGTTTTTCATTTTTAATGGTAAAATATATCGTGTTAGAATATACGCACGTATCATCACATAGCTGACAAATTAAACTTCTCAGAATTTCATAGTTGTTTCACAATGTGCTGTAGCTGTCATAAAGTTTCGAAATTTTTACAGGTAATAAAAAACATTTACTTATTTTCTATAGCTTTTATAATATTCATTTTAAAAATGTAGCAGAGATTCAATTACAGAATTTTTTAAAACTAACCACTTGGAAAGCCAGCCTTGCATAACCATAAATAAGTAAAAAAGGCAAAATATTCCTCCCTCATGTATCACACAAATTATTTAATTTATTACATTGCTTATCAAAATTTCACACCACTTTATCCGGAAGATAATGGAGAAACTTATATGAAAAAATGTTGCGCGCTGTATTAGTAACTTGAACACAGTTAGCAAAACAAATTCCTGACAGAGCCATAAGCATAATTTGTCAAGACGCCGTTGCTTTGTCAAACCTTTTTACTCTTTTGTACGAAGTAAAGGAAGTATTGCAAAACGTGAAAAATTTCGGGCAGACATGTACAAAAAGAATAAAAGACTCCTTTTGACAAAAAGGATTGTAAATTGGATTTAAATAGATTAAAAAGAAAAATTTTTTCTTCACATCTATATGTACGTACATAGGTATATAGGTATATATGTATCTTACATAATTCAAGAACGGGTAGTCGTAAACGGGTAGTATATGGGACTACTGTAACCTGTAGTTGTGCATCTCCCGTTTTCACTGTAGTAAGCTGCACCAATATTATATATTTACATATATATATATATTTCCACTCTGTTACCTGCCTAGTGAGCTTTGTATTTTTATTCTTATATGTTGGTAAATTGTGCATTTTTTTCTCTAAAAGTGATTGAATTACGAATTTTCTATGCTCTGGTTAAGAATTGTATGCTTTTAGTCTGCAAGCAATAGTTGTAGAATTATCAACAATGTAAAAGTGGCGAGTTAAGCCTAACAGATGTCATATGTTTAGGTTTGAAATTCAGTAGAATAGTGAATGTAGTCACTTTCTGCAACTTCAATATTTTTCTATCGAGCGGGACCAAAAGTAAACTTTCAGTTTTGTGCAGCGAAAAATCTTGCTTCTTACACTCTGGCCGAATGCAGAAACTCTAGTTTTGATTGTAAAAATTTTTTAATTGTTTTAATTGCATTAGGTATTTTATTTTTTTCTGTATTTTACAATTTTTAATGAGTTTCTATACATTTTTGCCTTGCCTCAAAGGAAGAACTCAAATTAATTGAATGAAAAATATAGCTCTAATAAAATTTGAGGAAATAAGTGTAAATTAAAAGCGGCAAAAAATACGTATAATTTAATAGGCCATACAAGGAAGTCATGTAGTGTCCACATCAGATATGTTTTTCTGTATGCAAAGCCAAAAGAAAAGATGATCCTATTATATAAAAGGTGAAAAATCATAAATTATCATTAATTTTCCTTCAATAGCATATTTTCATAATCTATGTGTGCTTTATTCGGATGCAGTTATGTGTTTAGATCTAATTTAATTCATTTAGAGGTATATGTACCCCAGTGGTAAATGTCTCTATCAGCAAGAATATTAAACTGATGTAGAGACATTAGGTTATTTTTAAAGTAGGTGTGATGAAAAATGACAACGCACTCGCCGGGAATCGAACCACTGACATCTGGAATATGCTCCCAGCGTGTAGCCACTTCACTACGAAGGTATGCTAAGAAGACGAGAGAAATACCTTATACTGAAATATAGTTTCATAAAGATTTTAAGAAATCATTTAAGTGCAAAGCAGTCTTTATAAATTTCATTTTCAAATATAAATTAGCTTTACTTAATTGTTTATTTAGGGTATGGATTAAAAACACCTATTGGGCATGCAGATTACTATCCAAATGGAGGTGAATTTCAACCTGGCTGTGAATCGTCATTAGATGTTGGATCTGGAAACAGAAATGAATTTGCGAGTTACACAAGTGGTTTCAATGTAATAGACAAATTATATTTTAAAAGTACCATGAAAGCCACAAGTAAGTGCATATTTCATGTCTACTCACCTGTGAAGTAAATTTGTACTAATTTAAATTTGTTTGTAGAGTGCTAAAATTATTTGATGTGTTATAATTTATCTTCACTATTGTTAGTTAATAGAAAAACATTTACATAGTTTCTTAATTTGCTAAAAGTGCCGAATGGAGTAAAGTTGATGTGCATTTCTGATACAGTGGTTTGTAACATTAAACACTCGTATGAAATCTCTGATTTACTATACTGAAATGTTTTTAACAAAGACTTTAAAAACTACAATTGAAATTTTGTTGCAGCTTGCAATCAATGCCTGTAACTTATAATAGTAAAATTTAAACTTTCATTTTCATGAAAAAAGCCCATACGAAGATAAAGGTGCAAGTAAAATATAGTCACAGTACAAAATAATAATAATAATAATAATAATAATAATAATAAATATATTATATGAATGCCCATAGGAAACATGCCCACACGAAAAGGTTTCAAAATAGAAAAAGCATGCACATTAAAAACATAGGTGCAAACAAACGTCAGTAAAATTAGAATTGCATTGTATACTTACTTTGTACAGCGTTATTTGCGAGTTCTGTGACGAATACTCTTTTAATTAGTAATTCACCTAATTATGAAAATATGCACTTTTTCAAAAGCAAATATAATTTAAAAATAATTCTGACTTAAGTGTTATTTATTAAACGAATAATAATTAAATCTGACAACTGATTATTTTTTTGACCTGTTGAATAATTATTACAGAATTCTTAACATTAACGATTCAAAATTTTAATAAGCGTTTCCTTAATAAAGCTTTACGTATGTTTTAGGTAAGAAGAGTAGAATATTACGAATACTGATATGTTTATGAGTAATAGCTATAGCTATAGTTAATAGCTAGTTTATCTGTCGTTCAAGGTTCTGGAAGAGAATTTTTTAGAAGAAATGTTTACTTCATCGCCGTTTTTTAGCGTCAAACCTGCTATTGGAGTTTATGTCTGGACCGCTTTTGTGTTCGAATCCGCTTAATAACAAAGCAAGAAAGACAAAAATATATATTAGGAAGGGTGAATCTACGGGCAGATCATTAACGCTCTATATAGTGGTGGACTAACTATAGGATAACCTTTTTAGCCTAAACGAGCGTCAGCATAGAAGGGCTATACGTTTAGTAACTACAAAAGCCAGAGCCAATTTTCAAATTGTTGCCACCAAATATTATCGCCATGTGTTATATTTAAAGAAATTAAATAATGAAGAATTTGCATGAATGTATCCATACTTTTCGCATTGTGAAGAAAAACAATGGTACCTAGAGCCATCAAATTTTGAATAAATAGTCCTGCATCCGACTAGGACACCTGGAAACTCAAATTTTAAATTTCGAATTTGGTTTATTGTGTATTTCATATTTTGTAAAAGTTTAGCGAATTTTGATTAACAAACTCAACGATTTCAAAGTGAGCAATGGCAGCACGGTACGGAAATATCATTTTTGTCTCCAGCGTGCGAGACTATCTGTCGAAATTCTAAAATTAGGCTGTTTTTAAACATTTTAGCTCAAAGGAAAATTAGTCCAAATGATCTGAAAACGTGTATGTGTATGTAAATGAAATTAAAGCTCCTTTGGGTGTAATATAATCCAAAGGTGCAATCTGCCAGAATGACTGCAAATTTTGTTTTGGCATTTTGCGTTGATTCACTTTCTGAGTTGTTTCACTTTTCAAATTGTTGTCAGCAAATATTATCGGCCTGTATTACATTTAAAGAAATTAAATAATGAATAAATAAATGTATGTATGTTTCTCGCATTATGATAAAACAACGGTACCTACCCTGCTAAAAATGCCCCGTAAAAACACATAACATTTTTTTACGGGGAATTGGCCTACGGGTACCCATACAGCTCTGCGGGTACCCGTAGGCCAAATTTCCGTAAAAACCCAGAGACAGAAGCCCGTACAACTGTACGGGTACCCGTAGGCCAAATCCCCGTAAATTCCCATAGAAAGAAACCCGTACGGTTGTACGGGTACCCGTAGGCCAAATACCCGTAAAAACCCATAAAAAGAAACCCGTACAGTTATACGGGTACCCGTAGGCCAAATACCCGTAAAAACCCATAGAAAGAAACCTGCACGGCTGTACGGGTACCTGTAGACCAAATACCAGTAAAAACCTGTAAACAGAAACCCATACAACTAACTGTACGGATACGAGTAGGCCAAATCTCTGTAGAAACCTGTAGAACTGTAGGCACTACAAACAAAATCCCAGTAAAATCCCATAGCCAAAAATCAGAACTTTATATGCATATCCATTATCCAAATTTCCAATAAAAAATGGATATTCCGTAGGTCTATGCCTTGTAAAAACCAGTAGAAAAAAGCACGTACACCTATACAGGCACTCATACGAAAAATCCTGTAAAAACCACTATACAAAAATCCACAGACCAATAAAGGGTTCTCTTGGAAAAATCGCTGCACAAAACAGTAAACAAAAACCCATAAACAGAACCAATAGCATTATACCATAGTGAAGTATCCATACATAGAATCGTACATAGAACGGGTATCCATATACAGAATCCCTATAAAAACAATACACAAAAATAGAACTGTAAATCAAATTTCCATAAAAATATAAACCAGCAGAAGTACATAATTAGCACTGATGAAATGTACAGAACTAAATGGCGGAGAAAGCATGTAAAGTAATTTTAAATAAAATTCAATGCGAATAAATAAAAATTTTAAAATATCTAGATGCCTACGAGCCCCTGCCCTTCTTAATGCACGTCAATATCTATAAACATATTACAAAATATTTGTATAAATTCTCTTTACAAAATTTTAAACTACCTTTATATAATTTTGAAAATAAAATGAATAGAAAGATAATAACCAAAGTCATGATTCACAACCATCGAATGATATATGTACATATATGTAAGAAAAATAAGGAATATGCAAAAGATTAAATTAGCAGCGTAAAATTAATTTTCCTTCTCTATTCGAGAAACAGTAATCTTTCTGCACTGAATCATTTCGAGATTAATTCATGTCATACGACTCTTACATAATTTGATGCTGTAAAAGGAACTAAAACTCAAACACCCAATAGTAATTTTACAGCAGTATTAACTATCAAATACGAGTAAAAATGCATCGGTTTGAATTAAGATTTCACCCTTAACATAACGCATTTGTTTTTTACGCTTTTTGCCTAGCTGGATTGCAATCTTTCTGCTCCTTGTTTCTTACTACACATATATCAAAAATGTTAATTTTTGGAATAGGCATACATAATGTGCCAACTTGTTTGTGGCTGCAACATATTTGCTGAAAGAAAAGTTGAATTAAATCTACCTCGACTGCCAAATATCTTATTCATTGTGAATTGGAGTTTCAACATCTCTAAGCCATAAAAATTCTTGCTGTTCTTTACGGATTCAGCTGCTTGTATTCGACTACAGAATCTATTATATATATATATATACATATAATTTCATTTGATGGTTGCGAATCATTACTTTGACTGTATATATATTATTGATTTTATTATAAATATATTTGATTATGAATATTCATATAGTACTGTATCTCACTGCATATATTTGTATTTCAGTTCTTTAATTGGGAAATTAAAACAATTGTATTTAATCACATCAGCTTGTTTAACAAGTTTGATACCTAATGAGAAATGTATTGCCAAAGAATGGTACTTTCTAGCATCTGCTTAAATTTTAAGTTACCTACAATGCACTAAACCAAATTAAAAAACAAAACTACAAGAAAACCAAATTTTCAGGAAGAGAAACATTATTAACAAGCAAGCAAAAAGAATACGGGACTTGCAAATTAGAAACTTAACATAGAGTTCAAATTTAGCATACTTGCTATCCCCTTAAAGCTCGCTTACCAGTGATAGTAACACCCTGCAGTTTATTATGACACGCATACACATAGAGGTTTTGCGTGGAAGAAAGAATGAATCCTAGAATATAATGTAGTGAAGAAATAATAATATACAAACACTGTCTCGACCCCTTATTACAATACTTTGAATGCTACCTGTATCTCTCAAAACATAAATGAAACATGAAGATAACATATAATAAACTTAATAATACCCAAAATACAATAAATTATATTGTAACAAAACGACTTTTAAAAAATTTACAAGTCTCAACAAATACCAATTCTCAACGCACAGTTCGGGAATTAAGGAAATATCTCATAGCATATAATGTTTTATTCCGTATCTCACTTTTAGAGCTATATAATCTTCCACAGATTTTATATAAATAAAATCTATAACATAATGGGTATTTATACTATATGTAGTTCTTGATGTAAAAAAGATCAACTTTCGTACTGTAAAAATTCCATCTAAGTGAATAAGTATGAATATAGTCATATACACATAATTATACGAAATAACTAATTTAATGAAGCTAAATTCCTATAGAAAAATGGGGAAAGTGTAGAATCGCATGTACACATCGACCTATTTTCACTTTAAAAAAATCACAGAATTGCACAAAAATGTCTTTGCGCACTCCTTTGACTTTATCCATGTACACATCGACCTATTTTCACTTAAAAAGTCAAAATAAAATTGGCAAAAATCCAATTCTTTTTACTTTTGCCAAATAAATAAGTGGGCGATTCTGCACTTTACCCGAAAAAATATATAAAAATACCATTTACCTATATATATTAATAATTTATTATTACACAAGGTTTTTCATATATCATCTCAAAGGAACATAAATTTAATTAAAGCGATGAATTATTGGAATAAATTTTAGTCAGTGTTTTAGGTGTAAGTTATTTAGATTTCTATTGTAGAAAGAATTTTTTAGAAAATGTATAGAAATATTATTTTGAACCATAAAAATTCTAAATAGTAAAATTTAAAGTACTGAAAAGGTAGCTATTGTTTTTGACAGTAGATTATATAATATAAAAATACCTCATGCTGAGCATTTTCTGAAATTACAATGCCAAATGAAATTTATATAGTGCAGTATTTAGCAATAATAACTTTTTGTAAATAAATGTAGCTATATTCGCTTAATTGTAATGACAGTAGTTTTAACTGCATTTGTATAAGGCTGTACAGAAGATTTATTTATATGGGTTTTCATCCGCAAAGAATAACCGGATTCTCTATGGAAGTGCTTCCGAAAATTACGTTTAAATATTACTCTAACTATATTTGAAAGCAATGCTATAACAGGGCTCTTATAAGACTCATGATCCGAAAAGCTTTGGTTTTAATTGTCTCATAAAAACTTTCAATTACTTCTGCAAAATTCATACCCACGTAAAAATTACTACACAATAATATATTAAGTCAATTGATTATACAGCAAAACGTTCCTAAAACAATCAACTCCACAATTCAAAATAATGCCAGTTTCCTGTACCCTGACAAAACTATGAGTGATTTTCTAAGTCCTGTTACTTAATTATTGTCCTGACAAATATGCCATTATCAGAGGTGGTCATTTAAGAAAATAACCACAATATGAGGTTTCAACTTAAAGTAATTTTCTTCAAATAAATAATTCACTTTTTATACTCCCAAGACTAGTACATTTAATATTATATAAATCTTATTCACAAATCTATTTCTATTTCAAAAGCAATTTATGAAAAACACATTTGAAATTTTCTTCATCAAACTAATAATAATGAAAATTAAAGTATGCATAAAAATGATTATATGTGTTTTAACAAAACAGCACAAAATATTTAATGTAAAAATGTGGTTCTAGTCTCATACTTGTAAAGAAAAAAAGACCAAAAAGAAAAACAATGTAAGCTACTATGATCATCTAAATTTTCACATAATTTTAGTAGTGGAAAAAAGATTTCTTAAGCTTGTATGTCTTGTCTACCCTATTCAATAAGTAATTAAATATTTCAATGTATATTTCATTAATAAAACTTTCCTGTTTTGCTCGCGAAATATAATTAGTACATTTTTTAAAACATAAAAAACATTCTTTTTGCTCGTCCACATCACATTAGTCGAAAAATGTTTAAGTAAAGTATGCTCAAATTTATTAGTACATAATATTCAAATGATAAAGCATCTACATGAACAAGCTTTAAAAAAGTATTTCTAAACTGTAATAAAAAAAATAAATTTTCCAAAATGCAGTTTCAGTAGAATGCAAAAACTATATTTCTGCATCTGCACACTGAAGCAAATTATCAAGTCTGTAATTGTCTTTTTTCAGTCTTTAAGCACATTGTTTTTCAGGATAAAAGTAAAGATGGAAAATCAATTTCACAACTAGTCAGTTATCAGCAACGTTCTCTCAAACATTAGACACGATTACACGTGCATGGCTTTAGTGGTATATTCATAGTCAGTGCTGGTATTTTATTATTTATTACTAATTTCTAAACAGTAAAACATAGTAAAATTTGTAATACAGTAAATCACAGTAAATAATATATTGCATTAATACAACCACGAAGAAAATAACACCACCATCGCACAACATTAGCTAGAGCGACGCCATATTGCTTGTTTGGGAAACTTCTGAGTGTGGGGGAGGGAGAGGAATTTTTTTTCCTCACGTCAGCGTTAACAGGGAGAAAAGTTTTGCGATTGTGAATGAACTTGTTCGCGTTAAAGAGATGTTGGCTGATACCGGTGTTTATTTGTAATATCAGAAATGCAAGTGCTTATGTGTGTGTATTCAGAGAACCAACTCGTAGCAAAAACCACCTCCCTAAGACGACCGCCTCTGAAAGAAACCAGTATTTCTGAAAACATAAGTATACTTTGGTATTGAATATTTCCTCTGTAAGGCGACCATTCACAAAGAAAATTCTGCATGTGTAGCTGGTCGCCTTAGAGAGATTTATTCCGGACGACGACCTCTAAAAGATAAACGTATCTCTGAGAACGTGAGTATACATTGGTATTGAACATCACCTCTCTAAGGCGACCACTTGCAAAGATGAATTTTTATTTGCAGCTGGTCGCCTTAGAGACCTCATTGTGTGTGGTGTATATGATTACTGTTATTATTTCCGAAAAAAAATTTTAAATCAAATAAATAAGCATATTTAGTAAAAACCTCTCTAAAACGACCACCTGCGTTTCCAGTTTACTCTGATGGTCTTAAAGAGATCATATTTTCATTCTGTTAATTTTATTGTTTACAAGAAGTCTATTAACGTCAGATAAAAAAAATAGCATAAACCCATATAAACCGACAGAAGATTTATTATTATATTGATACCAGTAAGAAAACCAGTAAAAGTCAATATAAACCTATACAAACCGGTACAAAGTTCTGCCATTGAAATGTTGGTTGTATGGGTGTTAATTGATACCAGTAAGAAAAACCCACAGAGATCAATAGAAACCAGTAAAAGTCAGTAGAGACCATCAAAAATTCTATAGGTACCAGTAGAACGTTTTACTGGTTTCTATGGGTCATTTTGAAACCAGTAAGAAAAACCCACAGAGACCAACAGAAACCAGTGAAATTCAATAAAAACACATAAAATCTTATGGGGACCCATAAAAAGTTTTACTGTTTTCTATGGGGCATTTTTAGCAGGGTATAGAGCTATCAAATTTTAAATAACGTAATCTTTCACCGAATATGGGCATCTGGTAGCCCTAATTTGGACTTAGTTGGACTAATTTGGACTTATTTGTTTTTCATATTTTGTAAAATTTTATCGAATTTTAGACTAACAATCCCAAGTATTTCAAAGCGAACAACGGCAACATTGTACAGAAAAAGCACTTTTATCTCTAGAGCGCGAGACTCTGTATTGGAAATTTTAAACATATGCTCAATTTAAAACTTTTTTGCGATATTGCTCTTGAACTGAGTTTTATCGTTTAAGGGCGAAGAACGTGATATTTAATAAATAAAGGTAACGGACAAAATGTTAAAAAAAGTCCCTTTGGACGTAATTTAAAATCTGAAACCCTTTCAGATTTTCTTTTTTTTTTTTTTTAAATTTAAATTTTATTTTGTTTATTACATTAAGTACTTGTAAATCAGCAACCTTTTTTTTAATATATTAAGTATACCCACTTATAACTCTGAATTATATGTAGCATATGAATGCAAGTTGTCATTGGTTATGTAACAGTGTTACTCTATGCACTCTCTGATTTTGTTAAAAAAACACGTATCGTTAGATCTGTACTAGGCCCTATCATGGTGGTGGCGGCTGCTGGATTAAACTTGATCTTCCGCTGAGCAGCCAATATTCTGTTTGGTATACACCTTAGGGTCAGAAGCCTGTTCAGTTGTGGTAAAAAAATAAAAACAATCTACAAAATATTTTATCATTTGACGCAAGAATTTTATGATTTTTTAGGGAATTTTTAATAGCAATTCTTGAAGTTTGTATTATGCTGTAGAATTTTATAAAGTATTTAATACGTAGTATTAAGCAGCAATTTTTATTCATTTTAGTTTATTTTGTGATCCACTGCAGACCTCAATTAAAGATGAAGGGAGGCAGAGCGAGGGATGTTTTATTTTTATTTTTCGTAGCCGATACATTTTCACTACACAACTTAACTCTATGGAACAATAATTTTATTGCAAATGATCCATTAATAGGTTTCAGAATAATTTCAATAGTTTTGTTTTGAAATATTATTTTAGTAATCGTGCCGTTATTTGCTAACAATCTATAAGTATCAAAATATATTGTGGCAATTTAAATTCCAGTTTGCTATCTCCGGTCACTGTTGGCAACAACAAGGTTTATGAAAATGATGTGATATAAACGAAAATTGAAATCACAATGCTAATTTAGATATTAAAATAAAAAAAAATCAAATGTTAAAATATTCTGAAGCATAATCCATTTTTTGTTTCTTTCAGAGGAAGAGCACAGAAATCTAGTCTGCAGTCACAACAGAGCGTATGAATATTTCATTGAAAGTTTAGAAGATGTGGACTGCAAATTCGATTCCATGAGCTGCTACAACTGGCATGCTTTTAATTTTAGTGGATGCGGGCCATGCAATCTTACCACGTGTATGAGTATGGGGTTTTATTCTGACATAGATACATATTCATTCAAATTCGAAGGGCCTCTAAAACTGTATTTGAAAACCAATGACTTTCCTCCTTATTGTATTCCTAATCCTCAACGACAAATATCAAAATTATACTCTGATACCAAAAGATTCCTTAAACAGATTTATCAAAGATGTAATTTATTGAAAATAGGTATAAAAGATCTACTCTGTTTATAAGAATTGAATGTAGATATGTATTGTTCTGAAATAAAATGGTTCCAAACTGTAGATTTATTTGCTTGTTTTTTTAGCCTTAAATCAATGTATTGTACGAAAGGAAAGTCACATCGAAAAAATAAAGATACGCATGTAAAGGTGTTACACAACAGCAAACTGCGCAATAATTAAATAAAAGATTTCAGCACAATTCTTCACATTCCACTGCCGTATAAGTATTCTAATATTGTTCTCTCATCTTTTGTTTAGTTCTTGTAGCGCTGCTCTCTAAGTTGAAATTTGGGATGACTGGCTGAATTTCATGTGTTTTGTTCCTGGTTTGAATTTCCGCAATTTACACATTGTTCTGTGGTTTGGGGGTAGGATTATGCTGAGTAATCTTGAGTCTACTTTGCGCAGACAGATTTCTTCCTAGCAGCTTCAGAGGGCCTTAAAGGAATTCCCAGTGTCGTCAGGAAATGTAGACTGATTGACTCAAAAGTTTAGTGTACCTAACGATAAGTTTTACACTTGGTGGGACACACTTGTTTCACCTTAATTCTTAGCTCTGGACGACAAATAAAAGTTGTTAGATGCGCTTTAATTTAGATTAGTTCTTTCTATATCTTTAGGTCCTATTAAAATGACGTAATTTCAAAGCCTTGAAACTATTTTATGATCCTAGCAAGTTTTATTTCTGAATTTCATTTTTCTTTTCTTAAGAACATCTGCAAGCGGGGAGTTGCTGTTATCTTCTTAAATTGCCGGGATCTGCGTGAAAGAAGTGTACAACTGTTCAGAATTATTCTGGGTTGCAATCAATTTTGTTTAATAAGTATATCACTTTGAGCTACTTGCGCTTTTGGTTCTGTAAGGCTGCTCTTAAGATGAGCAATCGTTGACTGTTGCATCGAGAAAACTAATCTAATGTTTACCAGATACCCTTTAAGTGCAGCTGTAATAAATTGATCAGTCATTTTTTTCTTATGCTTACTTTAACATGATTCTTGATACTTTCAATTATATAATTTATCTTTGTTCTCGAAATCAATGTTGAAATATTGTCTGATTTATCAGAGATATTTGTGATAAAAACATAGTTACTCGTACCATCTGGAAACTATTATAGCTAAAAGAAGCTAAGAAGATTCTAAGAGAATTCTATAACAGAGAAGAAACAACAAAGTAACTGGTACATAAAGGTGACTCTGACCATATATATGCACCAAATTATGTGAATACATAATGTAAAAACACAATAAAATTTCCTCAATTCCAAAGTGATTATATCAGATAATAAGCAAAAAGATAAAATTATTAAAAACTACACATTATGAAGTATAGAGAAAGAAATGAAATACTTCTAAAAAATGGAAGAGTAAAAACAAGAAACACTTTAAATAACTATACAACAGTTTAAAGAAGTGTGTGTGGTATTACAGTATTATTAACACAAGTTCCTATTACACCTTAAAACGTCTGAAGTTCTTTATCCTGAATACAGAATATCCTATCGGAAGAACAAATTTACAGGCAACGTAAGAGGTAGCTTACAATTAGGAATTTTCAAAGATAGTTGCATTAAAGTAATAGAGGTAAAATAGCCCTTCAGATGGATCTTTACATACACTTTATATTAAAGAACTTAATACTGAATAGTGAAATTTAATATTCTTAAGGTTATAAAAGCAAAATTGAAAATTAATTAATTTTTCATTTATATCATTATTTAGCAAAGTAATTGCAAAAGTATTATTAACAAAAAAATAGTATAATATAAATAATTATTTAGGAAGCTAAATTAATGTAACAAAATTGAAACAGAAAACAAACATAAAAATCAGTGCAAGTGCGCGGAAGATGATTGTGAACTGACGCATGAGATAAATTTTCGAATATATATCCTAATAGTTATATCTTACGAAAATGTTGTGTCAGTAAATAGTTGCAATAACGTAAGTAGGAGAATAGAGGTTTTACAAAAAGCAAGATTAATTTGATTATTTAATTAATTTTTATCTTTATGAATAAATTATCCAAATTTAAACGAATTCTGTCAAATGAAAGTAAATTAAAGAATATTAATAACAAAATTATACTTCTAAATGAAAACAAATTAAGTAAGAATAATAATAGTCCCACAGTGATGTTGAAGTTCTTCCTTGGCAAAACATTAAAAATCGAAATGTTAACAGAATTAAAGCATTCATAAGCACTGCAATCCAATGGAACCGCCTACAGACTTTAAACGCAAAAGCTCAAAGCTGACATAATTTTCAAATATTAAATCTGAAGGGAATTTTGAACTCTGTTAGACAAAATTTGCATCCACTGGAAGCTTGCTTGAGTCACGCATTCAATAAAAACAATTTTGATTACATTCACTAGTTATAAAAATACTAGTGAAGCAATTTTTTCAGAGCCCAAAATTTACCATTTAACAGGTTTTTGATGGCAGCCTCAAATGCACACATACACGCATACACAGAAAGAAGAAGAACATTACATTCCAAGGAACGCGAAGACTGAAATATTTACGGAAATTAATACATCTTCCTTAAGAGTTGCGCGTCTTGAGCAGGACAGTCCCAAAGACAACGGACAACTAACCCTCGCTGCCATAATGAGAGGCAAGTCTATCGCAGTGCAATACCTTAGGTTTGGAAGGAGCTGCGTTTTGCACAACCACCACAAAGTCATTTAGCTTCTTGGTGATACAGAGAGGCCCTCTTAATCGTCTGTCAAACGTTTTACACAACGGAAGAAGCATTGAACTGCATTCCAGTGCAAGAGCAAGAAGTAATGGCAGCTTTTGATCCCAATCCCGATGGTTCTGGGTTACAAACTGAGAAACATAGTTCAATATTAGACCATTAAAATTTTTTACCATGCCGTCCAACTGCGCATGTAATGGACTGGTTTAAATCTAAATGTAGAATTAGCTAACGAAGCTATAAACTTCCCGTAATACAGCCGAGCGTAGTAACACCTTAGAGAGATGTGGTCAAAAGGCAAGCGCGCGCTTGTCAGAAACTCTGATTCTGTCTTTCGAAGTATTTTGGTCTTTGGCCTTCGTTTATTTAAGTGGTGTATGACCCGAGAATCTTTACCACTCTATTTTTGTCCTGAAAAGAAAAAACTTCAGAAAAAAAAGTTAAAAAAAGTGGCTTTAAAGCCAGAGCAGACAGCGTCTATTTTTGGCTGAAGCGAAAAATGTCGGGAGGGAAGCCCGAATTCGCGAACTGAGGATCCGCAAAAGTCTTGACTTAACCCGCTCGGCTGTGAATCATCTCGTCAGATAAGAAATTTAGGCATTTTGAGCAAAATTCAGCATAATTTCGACAGTCTTGAAGGCAATGCGGAGTTTCTCCGTAGTATTTTTGGCATACCTTATCTGTTGAGCTAAAATGGAAATATTTTGAATTAAATTGAAGAGACTTGCAAATTTTGAAAAACTTGCATTATCTGTTCAATTTCAGGAACCTGTTCTTCTTTAGTTTTATTTTGCTTTATGCTTCACTGAATGATTTTTTAAAGATTGTAACATTTTCAGAAGTTGCTGCTGAAGGAAATTTAGGAAAGTCTTCTATTTTAGGTGAAGATGGTTTGTTTTCTGGTTGGCTACTTTTTTGAAATATCTACTGATAAATTTTACACTCTACGGTAAGAGCTTATGTGAGATTCTGAGGCTTCACATTTGGTTGAAGTTGGCATGTATTACTCCTATGGTTCTTAGTGGATTTTACGCAGCGTGCAGGTTTAAAGCAGGTGGCCTGTGAATGTCCAAAATCCTGACAGTTATAACATTGTATTGGTCCTTTACGCGGAGTGTATTTTTGAATGATCACATTAAAGTCAAAAACGTTATTTAGATTATGGATTGCTTCTCCGTTTGCGTTCCTATGCAGTTCCAGAAAATATATAGGTAGCATTATTTTTTGACCATCTAAAGTCTTCGAGAATTGCTTTAATAATCAGGTATTTTCTGCATTCTAACTCATCAAATATGACTTGTTCTTTTACCATGCTGGGCAAATTTTTCGTGATGACTTTAACGGTGGGAGAGGAATTTATCTGAAATGTGTGAAAATTAATCTTTGCTTTTTTAGATTAGTTTTCATGTTATTAAAATCAGTAATCGAGTTCGTGCGAAGATATATCGCTCTATTTTTCATCTTAGCTTCGAAGTGTTCTTTGCAAGTTTTACATAATATCAACTGATATCCAGTCTAGATTGTCCGTGAGTACTATGGATGTTCCTTTTGTATTCACTATCCTGGTCTATCACTTCCATTTCTAAATTTACGGTCGAAAATTGATTTTCCTAAGGAAATTCTGCTAGCGAGGAAAGCACGGGTGATCTGCACGCTTTACTGGTGTTTGCCATTTTGGATTTTCTCCTTCGGTAATTTCTTTTCCTGTTCGCTATCTCTGACCATTGAATTTTCGTAGGCTTCTTTGTCTTCCTCGAAATTTTGAATGACCTGGTAATATGCTAAGGCTAGTTGATCGTTGGGGGAGCCTTCTTTAACAGCCTGTTTATCTCTATTCTATATTTCTTTTATCTTTTCTGCTGGACTTAAGTTCTCGGAGATACTTTCGATAACTTGTTCCATATGTTCTTCGAGGGTAAATTTATTTTTTGGAGATCGAGCTAAGAGATGCGGGAAAATATTTTGGAATTTTTCATAAACCTGAGGAGTTAATTCTGATTGCTTTTCTACGGGGGGGGGGATTTTTTCTGCCTTTTCTGGTTACCGTCCGAGTTCATATCACTTCCTTTTTGCGAATTCTGCCTGCAAAAATTTCAGAGGTGGTCGAATAATCAGAGTCCATTTCATCATTATCATTCGTATAGTCTGCCCATAATCTGCTCTTATCTGGAGGCTTGCGGTTGGCCATTTGAGGAGAAAGAGTACTTAAAATAATACTTACAAAGTATCAAGCAGGAGTCCTCACCCTCCCATGTTGCGTTCACTTGCACTCTCTGAATTTCCTCTTTCGAAGTCAGTGGAATTTCGACTTAAGTACTACTCCTTCTAATTTGCATTTAACGCCATTCTAAAAACACATTCTGGTAAGGGATTTGTGAGCTGAAATTAGGAGAGATAGGAAAGGAGCTGTAACTTAAAAATAACTGTTATAAGCTTCGGATAAACCTTACAAGGTTATGATAGTAAGTTGGTAAAATCCTTGCAAATTTATGGAATTCAATAAGTCAGGCTTATAGTTAAGGAGTGTGCCAATACATTCGTGAATTATTTTTAAGCTTTTTGAATGTTAAGAAATATTAAACGAGGCAAATTAGACATCGCGTTTTCTTACTTGCTCTTTTTATTAAAAATTAACGAAAAATATCTGCAATCTGCAACATGCAATGCATTCCTTGAAACCTATAAATTAAAATCGCAAAACTGTTTTTAAAATTCTCTCTTTATTAAAAGATAATTTTTTTTTCAGAAGAAAGGCTTTTCTATCGCTCTTTCTTCACAGTCATCTCCGTTTATTTATTAATTTTTGTACAGATAGTTTTCATATGTGAAAATTATGCACATGCGAAATTTAAGTTTTTTCCTCACAAACTAAGCAAGCACGTTTATTTCCCCTTCTTTTGCTTCATATAAACAGTTTTAGAGCACTATTATTGTAAGGATCTTAAGTTTTACTAACGGTTATTTTATTTTAAATCTTTACTATCACTTCTTATTTTCTACTTCCGGCCAGAATTATAAGCGTGAAGGAGTTTATGCAAAATTGTCTGGCGAACGCCAAGTATTTAAGTGTGGCCTTTTTGCCAAGCAGAAGAGAGGAAGCCGTGAGTTCGAAGCAGGCCGCTTACCTTAGAAGTTACGCAGTTGCTACTTTGCCTTCCAGGCCAGAGGTTTTAATCCTCTTGATAAATTAAACGTATTGTAGTGTTCACAGTCTCTGTGCTACATACGCTTTCTGTTATTATAAGGCCAATCTTATTCTAAAGTTAAATTAGAGTTTAGTTTTATTTTGATATCTTTTAAGTTAGACCCCGAGTGGAGGGTCATTGTATTCCGAAGTACGGAAGTCATTGTATATAAAGAAAAAAAAAAGGGTTTTGTATACCCTTCGTCTGTATCCTGTCTACTTACTACAATTAGTGAACATAGCTTTAGTAAGCTCTCTGTTCTAGTCAGGTCATTGTATGTTTCCGAAGAAGGTTAGAAGAAACATTGAACCTGATATTATTAGGTGGCATTTTGTATACGTTTCTCACAACTTCAGCAAAGTGAAAGCTGAGCATTGTTTGAAGCAAAATGGATTGATAAGTAGACCAGCAGATATAAAAAACTTTCAAACTTCAATCAACGTTGCCTTAAATCTATAAATTGTGTAGAGACGTCTCGAAACAATCTGACTGTAGATGAAAAATGTTCAGCTACATTTAATAGAAAAAATGAAAGGAGTAAAATTTCACTTCCGTATATCAAATAACAGCTGCACGAGGTTTTTAATTTGCTACGAAAATATTATTGCTTCATTTTCTCTCAGAAATTTAGTAAAGAAAATTTTGTAAGATGATTCAGCTTCTACTGGAAATTTTTTTCGCTTTGATAACGGTAATTAATGTGAAAGCAATGGCAAATTCAGAAGCAGGTACAGCAGAATTTTTATCTCGAATGTAAAAGTGTAGTTTACTCTTTGCGAATTATTATTTATAAATCGATTTATGTAAATTCATTTTCATCAGGTGAGGACATTTTAACGTTATTGAACCTACATTTTATTCTCATTAGAAACAGCCTAATAATTAGACAAATTAAGTACATACGTGCGAAATTTTTGCATATTATTATTTGTGCAATTGTTCTTTTAAAATTCTAAGTAAAATTATAATTTAATGGTGACTAATTTAATCAAAAGTATTTTCTCCTTATCATTGTTTATTTTATAAATATCCGATTTGATTAGAGGTTTCAAATATTGAGATTTGTTCTTTCTTCTTAGCTTTTTCGTTATTTCTGTACAATGAATTATGCTTATTATAAATATCGCATTTGTTTCCGTTTTCAATATACGATTTTTAGTTGTTTACCTAGATTTTAGTTACTTGTTATTTATTACTCAATATTTTTGGCCTCGTATTTCTTTACAGTGTTAAGATTATCTCAGCAATTTATAAAGAAACTTAGATTGTTTAATTTTATTTTATATTTAACATGTTTTATTGCCTACTCTGTATACGAAAGGCACTATAAACTTATAGTGTGAAACCGTCTGAATAATTCATATCGAAATTTCTCTCAATCCGTTAAATATGATTCACCGTAATTATATGTGAGTATCATTTATTGTATTATCCTGAATGTATTCGGTTGTTTCTTAGATATATATAGGGAGAGAGAGAAGAGTGTAAAGTTCTACAATATTTGCAGGAAATCAGATTCCCACATTCGTGTTTAACTTCTTTAATAAGCGCAAGAAAAAAGACATTTTCAATATAATGATATATTAAAAATAGAAATATCCTAATATACATCCTAATATAATAAACATTCCTAATATTGTAGTTCTTTAAGAATCGAAGTAACATAAGGAAACCTAAAGACGTATTATAAGGATACCTATTGCTTCTTTCTCGACACAATAAATCTTTTTCTTGCAACAACTTTCGGATGTCTTGACACGCGCTGTATTAGCACTTTTCAGAACATTAGTTTTACAGTTTTCTCGAAGTAAACCGTGGGGCACGGAAACGTGAGCCAAGATCCTCATGCTCCAAGCAGGACGTGAGCTTGATAAGTCCCTTCTACAGGATTAGTATGTTCAGATAGCGCAAAATATTCAAACGCCACAACAGTCTGTCTACAACAGATAAAAAATTCTGAAGGTTTTTAGATTTTATATCACACGAAAAGGGGTGTTTTTGAACCTTTTGTTATTTATTAAATATCATGTTTTTCGATCTTAAACCATAAAATTCAATTCAACAGCAATATCACAAAATATTTGAACAACATATCTCTAGAATTTGCGACGGACAGTTTTGTGCGCTAAAGATAAAAATGTTTCCTTTTTCGCACATTTTTCGTACATTTCCTTTTGCCATTGCTCTCTTTGAAATAGTTCAGTTTCTTAACCAATCATTCATTAAAGTTTTACAAAATGTGAGACAAATAAGAAAAAATCGAAATTCAAAATTAGGGCTTACAGGTGCCTATGTTCGGGTGGAGGATTACGATATTCAAAATTTGATGGATCTAAGTACTGTAGTTTTTTCACAGTGCGAACGACATACATACATTCATACAAATTCTTCATTATTTAATTGCTTTAAATATAATACAGGGCGATAGCTCTTGGGTTTAAAAAAATCTTTCAACCAATGCCTCAAAGGATATTACTACTACTGGAGCAAATAAGTGTTTTCAGATCTTAATTATTTCGAAGGTGTCTAGGTAATAATTTCTTACATTTTAAACAAAATTACTGGAAAATTTTGCGAAACTTTTGAGCATATTAGGAAGGCTGTTCATTAAAATGAATTAACGTAACTTACAGAATTATTTATTTATTTATTTATTGTGATATGGTTTCAGTAGATGAGAGAGAAAGGTGTGTGCAATTAAATGGAGAACACTGTAATGATATTAGGAATACAGTGGTTGGCTTGGTTAACTTAAGCTGAGAGACCACAGAAGTTCATTATATTACATCTCACAATTTACATATTTATTTTATGATGATCTAGAACTTGAAATGTGTTGCTTTTTAATTTTATGTAAATCTAATGAATTATGGCTAGTAATAACGAAAGTATAAATTCTGAAACGGGGTTTGTAATTTTGAACAGGATTACCCTAAATTACCTGTTTCTGATATAGTTCTGATACATTCAGTATTACCGAGTTCTGATGCATTAGAAAGAAACAACGATTTTTACTTTTCAAAATATGAGTAAAAATCGTTCTTTGTAGTTTTCCAGTGCAAATAATTTCATGAAACATATTTAAAATTTACAAGTAACTCAAACTGTTTATATTTAAACATTTGTTTATAGCTGTTTGTTTAAGCTCATAGTACCTCTTTATTTATTTAGATATTTTTGCTCGATCTGAAGCAAATAACTCAACTTTTGTTGATATGGGAGAATTGGGTACTTTCAGTGCTGAATATCCATTCAATTATCCTCGTTTGGAACGAATTTACAGTCATCTTCCGAACAAAAGAGAAAAGATAAATACTAAATTCCATTTTTTTGGTCCATCGAATAAAAATATATCACAGAATGTTTTTAATATGATTTCCAACATGAGTCTATTTTCATGGAATTTGAAAAAGAGTGGTTTCTACAATGATTTGGATACATAATAATCATTCACGACTTAAAAGGAGAGACCTCAGGTTGGCAGTTGGTAAGTAAACCACTGAGAAATTTCTCATCACTAGGAGTTATAGTTTTCTGAATTGTGTTACTTGCTTTTAGAAGATCTGTTTTTCTCATAATGTTTTCATATTATTTTTAAAATGTTAACTGATATAACAGGTCAAGAAAATTCATAATACGATTCATTTACCAGGGAAACTGTATTTTATAGTGTAAGAGATCCTTCTACAATAGTCTAGCGAAACGCTTTGCAAATTAGATATAAACATATTATATTTATAATGACTTTCCTTGTCCTCAAAGCAATAAGATAAAATGCATATTCCTTTTTTATTTGGCTTCACCCACATTAATATATCTGATTCAGAAAATTTATTCAAATCTCATTATCTGAGAGTATGTAAAATACTTAGGTCCGTTGGTTATAACTTATACATTTTCTTGGTTTTATCACTTTTCAAAGCCAGTTACGATATTTTTGGAAAGTTATTCCAAACCTGCTCAGTAGTTATAAATAAAAGCATTTAGCTAAAAGAAAGTAGAATCTGTGCAATGAAACCTGCAATATTTCCATCTAATTAATAAATAAGCAGTTCGAAGTGCAAATTATTATCGGCTGCTAAATCTAAAATAACAACTAAAACTTGGGAAGGGTGTAAAAGACATTTTATTAACAGTTAAAAATAACAGAAGGCAGGCACACTTGCCTTTACAATTTAGCTAACACTTCTGATGAGGTAGTTTTGGCATCAAATTCAGCTATCGGAATTAATAAAGCAAACCAGAAGACTACAAACATTATCTTATCCAGCGATCATCCAACGTGGCCTCGACAGGCAGAAAACTATCTATCTTAGAATCTAAAAACCTCAGTTTAAATACATTTCATCCAATTTGCATTCTGATGAGAAACCGGAAAAAGTGAGAATATTGGTCTAACTATAAAATAACTGATTAATTAACATAAAAGGATTTTACAACACTTTTACTTTTATAAATTAATTGAAAGTCTACAAAAATAAAATTATTCTGAAAATTTTAATATGTCCTCATTATTATTTGATTATTAGATTTTTAAGTCATTATTATTAGATTTTTAAGTTGCATTTTATTTTATTACTTGGTTTATACATTGCCTTTAAAAGTCATGATCAGAAATATTATTCTCTTTTGGTGAAAAAAAGTGTAAATATATGCATGCCATTTGAGGATGGAAAGCATATCTACAACCGGAGTTTTACTTCATCGAGGAAATCTGTATAATCGTCATGGTACGTTTTAGGAATACAATGCACCAAAGAAGCTAGAAATTATAATTCAGTCTTAAGCTCCGGAGCACATTAAGAGTGCGATAAAATATTTCTTCATCATTAAATCACTATAGTAGAACAGATGACCTATATACAGTCAACAGAAATACGTATCTTATTGCTCACCAAATAAATAGAAGGTACGTTATACAGCATACACAATAGCTGAGAGATTTATTTTAATAACATTTAAAATATATAGGGATTAATGGAACTCATACGTTTAATAAATTACTAAGTTTTTGATTTTATGAAAGGTACGTGGAACGTGATATAACTTCACCACAAATATGTGCTAACGTAGTGAATTTTCTATACTTCTTTGGAACGTTTCCTCAAATAATTCTTTTTGTGGCACCCAGATGGTATAGCGGCTACGGGAGCCGACTGCGATTCCAAACTTTCCAGGTTCGAATCCCGAAGAAGGCACGGTTGCAACTGTCTATCCCTTCATAAGAGGCAATGGTGGCCCACCTATTAGGTGTCTTCATAATAAAGTGACCACCGCTTCTAGCCTTAGTAGTGGTCAAAGTCTATGATCACTTGTTCCCGCCATTCATGAAAAAACATAATTCATTTTGTAATAATAAATTGTTTTGCTGTAACCCTGGAATCTTCAAGTGGTATAGTATCAACAATCTTTATTTCGGCTCAAATCTAATTGGTTTGTTCAATTTCACATTACGTTTATGTTTTTCTCATAAAGTGAGAAGACGTCATGTGTTAAATCGTGTGATTTGGGTGTTAATGCCAGCACACTTTAATATTACTAAACTGCAGCTCTTATAAATTTCATTTTATGGGCGAAATTATTCCTTAAAATAAAGGTATAATACTCCTTTTATAATATCTGCAAAAATAAGAATTATCAGCTTCAAAAGCTTGGTAGCCTGTTTTCTCACAGGCATTTCATATATGATCTTGCGTATTTAATGTTAAGCAGGACCAGAATTTGACTGTGTTTAGCCCTATAAGTATAACTATAATTTATTCATTGTATCAGCATTCAAAGTGCTATACTCGTAAGTTTAGATTGCAGGCAGTGTTTTACAGCTTGTCTTAACTGATATAAACGTTATCCGAAGGAGATACACAAAATGAAAATTGTCGGTCTTGTGAGATGGAAAAGAACATTTCGAAGAAAACAACAATTCGATGCACGAAAACTATTTGAAATAAATTATACACATAGCAGTATTTTCGTATAAAAATAATAGGTTATTTTTTAAATTAAACTACCATAAAACCCAATATTCAGAAATAAATTCTAATCTAAACCATTTGATAAATTAATTAAATGCAAAGTAAATCATCAAATATTCTTTGCTCCTTTCATTGTAAGCCACAACTAAATATATTCGTAATGCCATTCAATTATATTTGCAGGTTGTGCAGGTTGTATCGTAGCATGACTATTTTCTGTAATTCTCGGTAACATTTATTAAAAAAATTAATTTAAATGCTGATTGTCTCCTTTAAGAACCTCATTATTTCTGAAGCAAAATATTAATCCATTTGAACAAATGTAAAAATGCGCTGAACATCCATTGAACAAATGTAAAATTCTTAAACTTTACGCTGCGTGACTTCATTTCTTTTGTGATAAATAATGAAATATTTGATCTGCAGAAATTGAAGAATGCACTGTTGAACAAAAATGATAGTAATGTGTTCATCGTCGACTGGTCAAACGGCTATGGGGAATTATACGAACAGTCGGTTGCAAACATACGTGTAGTAGGAGCTGAAGTTGGACTTTTTATGCAACGTCTTGTAAGTTTACATTAATATCATTATTATTAGGCTTTTCAATAGAAAATTTGAGATATTTTCTGTAATAGTACAATAACGTTCCATAGAAAGATACATGAGGAACTTAACACTTTCCGTGAAATTTGGCTTAGTTTATACGATCCAGGAAACCACTTGAGATTTACAAGGGGAGCGATGCCTTTGTACAGGATTTTCGAAAGGAAATGGTTCGTGGTTTTCCTTAAGGAAAGCCACGTAAACACTTATGCAGCCAGCCCGTTTGCCGCCATCTGAACCTGGGTACGTCCCTGCTTTCAGTAAGAAAATACAGTTTTTTTCTCCAGATTCATTTCGAGCGGGTAAAATTATTCTGAGCATAAAAAATATATCTGATGTTAGTATTACCTTTCTAAAAGGAGTGGCATAGAATGATACTACTTAAAAACTTTTGTTGGCAATGCTTGTTTTGGAAATGATATCACTAATATAAGAGAAAAGAATAATATATTTAATGCTTGATAAATACACAGCAATGACGCATATTCCTCTCTGTATGAAACTGTTTAGCGAGGGTTATTCTGTAACGGAAAAGATTCAGATATCTATGAAAGTTCCCCAAATTCTCATACAGTATTGAAGACTTGAAACATTTTATTTTACAAAGCAAGAAATATATTTTCTTCAGCCTCATCCAAATACGTAAATTGCTTTTTTTAATCCAGTGGATTATTTTCTGAGAGTTTCTTTAATACACGTAAATAAAAAAAATAAAAAAAAATCACATTGAACAAGAAAAGATAGCGTTAGTGAGACACAAGCGCCACCTTTTTTTTATAAATTGTTTGATGGAAACAGTTTCTTTAAAAATCTGGTAGTCTTTCGATTATCTTCATTAGTAATTTGACATTCTTTTTAAGGCTTTCAACATTTCTGCTCATTAATGGAATCATAGCAAATCATATCAATCAGCATTTAATATACTATCATTTTTCATTCTGGAAAACCACTCGTACACTTGTGGTTAGCTCAAATCATCATCATCAAATTTTTCGAAATCATAAAAGTCTAGCCAGCAGTACATGTCAACAAAAAATTTAAATTTCGTGCACAATTGTATTCTTTGTTGTCCTACTTTATAGGATCGGGTCACTTCGAGCAAACAAGCGCATCCTTTAGTACTGAAGATGAACATCTTTATTCATGTTGATGGCCTTTGATAAGCAGGGTCGCGAATTCAACAGGTTGGCAGCAGGATTCATAGATACATAAGGCTTGCTTGCATTATTGTAATTCTGTTTTTTTTTTTACTTATCTTACGTTAATTCATTGATTCAATATGAAGCAAAATACTTTAGCCCTTTGGAACAGTGCACTTTCAGGCAATTAAAAGATTTTAGTCTTTTATTCGCTAATAGCGCTGCTCTGACATCTGTAATGATATTGTAAAACACAAGAAACAGTTTTACGAATAGAAGAAACTAAATAAAAATTGAAATTCGTGTCTTTAGTTGATCGCAATATAATGGGCCAGGTTTTAAGAGTTTTAATGGATAGTCAGTAAGATACTTATTGCTTCATTTATTACAGATCTGCTTTTCTAATATTTTGGCATTCAAATGTATGATAAACAATTCTACATGTTGATAATTATAATTACGATATTTTAGAACATCTTGAATTTGGATCCAAAGTTTTTGCATATAATCGGCCACGGTCTTGGTGCACATGGAGCTGGATACGCTGGCAAATGGTTTCAAGAGAGACAACATAAGCTGATTGGTCGAATTACGGGTAAGTTAATGTAAGGTTTTAATCCGCAGTGTAAATTAAAATGTAATTTTGTTTCATCAATTTTATTTAAATGTCAACCATTTCCAACATTATACAACTATTAGGTTATGGATTAAATAAATAAAAGAGTTATATTTAAAATACTAATTGTTATAGTAAAATTACTTTCACATAAAAGAATAGATAATCATATCTGAATCATTAATTTCATTTTTCCTCAGATAAATATAATTCGTGTCAGAGATTTAATTTAGAGACTCTGGTGCACATATTCCTTAAATAATTCATAACATACCTAATATCATTTGAGTAATTTTTCCTTTTTTATTTGTGCACCTGAATGCTTGTAATAAATAACTCAGTGTAATGAAACGCGAATGCTCTAATGATTATGTTTCTGAAGTTAGTTCTACTGATAGCTTTTTCTTCAAAGTTGAAAGCTCAGTCCACCTATGTGTGCAGTTTCTACTTCAAATTTTATAAAGGCTTAGATGCTACAATAATTTCATATTAAGATGACGGGGAAATAAAATTTGAAGGCATTAAAATTAGAAGATGATTAAAAATTATTGAACATCTAGCTGGCGGTCTGACGCAAAGGAATATGGCAGAAAAATAAGGCAAAAGTTTAGTTAATTTACTTCATAAAGTTCAAACTGTTTTAGAAAAGATCGCTATTAATCAGAGGGAAACATCAACTAGGTAGACTTCATTTTATAAGTTTTTAAATACGCAACATTTTTTCTAGTTTTAAAATACTTTTCACTTATGGCATTTCAGAAAATTAGTACACAAAATGTTTCCTCTCTGAGCTGTAATGTTGATACATTTTTCGCTATAAAGTTTCATAATTAATCCCTTTTTACACTGCCAAAAGCGTAATAAAATTTGCTACAGAGAAGCTTTTTGGAAAGACGTTACGGAAAGAAACAGCCTAAATCAGGGGTTCTCAACCGGTGGTATGTATGAGAAAAATAGGTGGTACACAAAGAAGCAAAGTATTTTTAATATTAAATTCAAAAATTAAAACCCCAACATCCTGATTGAGTTTTTTTCTCTAACACTCATAAATTTATGCTATCTGAGCTTTATTCAAGTGTGGTGGTGATAGTAGTACTTTGTAGTGGTGGTACTAAAGGTTTTCAATTTTTGTTTAGATGGTACGCGTTAGTCAAAACTTGTGAACCACTGGTCTAAAGCATAGAATAACAATTGCAAGTCGTAAATAATAAAGCATAGAATTAAGAATTGCAAGTCGTTAATATATACTACACCTCAGTTTTGCTTTCAGTAAAACCTTCAAAATACGATAAACTTAATACTTCAACCTATTATGGCCGTCAGTAATAGCCTGTGGCAATCTTTTTATAGCCGTTAGTAATTTCCTCTAAGACGCTCGTTTTCACAGAAGTTCAAAATCTCTGAAACTGAAGGTGGTAATCTTGCAAAGGTTTATTATTATTACAACAACCAATGAGTCAATGAATTCAGATTAAAACTTCTAGATGTATTTGAAACGTATTTTATAAAATCTAGTGAAATCATTTCTACAGTCACAATAGTGCATGTATTTAGTTTTATTTTAATATGTAGGTTTGGATCCTGCAGGCCCTTATTTCAATGGTGTGAATAAAACTGTGAGATTAGATAAAGGTGATGCTGCATTTGTTGATGTCATTCATACTAACACAGAGGGAGAAAGCATATACGGTATGTTAGTTTATTGACTTTCAACAAATACAATAAAACTTCAACTATTTGTTTTCCAGATATTTTCAGTTCTCATTATTATGATAGATTTTGTACTTTTTAACTAAAATTAAGCTTTATATTAAATTGCATGTTTTTACATTTTTTATCCATTTAAATGGTCTAAAATAGTAATATTGTAAAATTCATACTTTTCAAAGAGACCTCCCAGAATTCATATTCATACCTCTCAGAATGGTCAAGTTAGGAAATACGAGCGAAAACTTTACAGAATTCCATTGGGATTAGCCCATATAATTTGACGCTTATACGTCTTAGAGTGTTTAATAAATTTAACATAGTTAAATACGTCTGAAAGAAATCATTAAGTAGAACATCATCGATGCCAAGTGATTTTTTTATCTGAAAGCTGCTTCAGTACAGCAAAACACGTCTTCAGTCATTTATCTCTTATATTAAATACATCTCAGTAGTTCAAATTTGATATTAATGTCTCACATGTTAACCATTGGTTAAAGTCTTCCAAGTGAAGCTACTGCCCCGAAAAATCACCACTGGCCTATTTTATTAAGAGGAGACTGTGTTTTGGTATGGTTCAAAAGTACACCATTCACAACATTCTTTTGCAGTATTCCAACTGAGCGATTGAGAAATCCTTGTTGTTGATGTTACAAACATTAGAATTATTTTGGTTATTTCATTTGAACTAAAACTTTAATTATATTATCTGAAAAATTATTTAGCTGTTCACATTGAATGGTGTAAATATGAAGCCTTGTATGTAACTCTTCCAAACGGGATTAGGGTAGTGACGCTGACTACTGTACCGGAAAACTCAATTTTGTAAGCGTATGGTGTTTGTGCGTCAAAGCAGTGGTCAAAATACACCGCCAGACGAAATCATTTAGAGAGCTGGTAGTAGGAAAAAGGGGTGGGAGACCCTCGAAGATCCCTTCCCCAGGTGCTCTCTCTCTCGGTCAGATTGTGAAGGAAGCTTAACAGTTAGTTAAATACAACAATATTTGAATGACCTACGGTACTACTGGTCACGCTTTTACCTATATCCATAATTGCCAAGTAATTTAAAGTGCAAGAATATTATTTCTAGAGTAGTAACTAATAGTGCGAATCTTGCTAGTAATTCCTAAACGGAAAATTATAGGATAATTGCTTGAAAAAATCTTCAGAAATATGGATTGTTTGGAAAGCTACAGATGCTTTGTGACCGTTTTTCTTCCTTTTCAAATGGAAATTTCTTGAGATGATTTTGCAGATATCAATCAACCCTAGTCTGTGATTCCTTTTTCCTGGGATATGTAAGCGGGAGTTAAGTCGGAGTAACGAGAAAAACTATTAATAATGGTGTAAAATAGCAATTATATATATTAAATGCTGATAAATAAGCAAAATATTCTGAAAGTTTAAATGCAAATAAAAGGGAAAGTAATTGAGAGTATTTTCAATTTGATTATTACTGACAGTAATGTGTGGCAAAGCTAAGTTGTTAGTCGTAACTAGCTCTACCAGCACCAACCGTAATGCTGGATTTCTTACCCATTCCAAGTAGCTACCTCCTGCCCCAGTCTGTATAAAACGACGTGTAAACAACCATACTTTCACTATTGAATCATAAAACAAGTTTAGTTGTTCTCTTTGTTCACAATTATGATATTCAGGTTGAGTGGAGTGTTTTGCTTCATTAAATTAGTTGCTGTTCTTTTATAGAGTTATTAAATATAAAGTGCTCTTTATATAAAATTGAGTATGTGGTTAAACATAGGTCTTAAAATGGAAATGAAACTGGTTTAATTAGAAGTCAAACAACAAAAATCAGCTTTATATTTGTAAATTTTCCATGACTAGTTCCGATAGTTTTATCGAACCATCATCCAAAGCTACTAAAGAGAAAATTTGCAAAATTTGCCAAAGTGCAAATTGGCACTTTGGCAGCTGAGGGTGTTGGCTCGGTAAAACCATTGAAATGAATCTTGTAATATTTACAAATATAACACTAATTTTTGTTGTTTGACTTCTAATTAATCTTTGTTCGGCGAAAGTGCAAATTTGCACTTTCGCAGCTGAGGGTGATGGTTCGGTAATACCATCGAAATTAATCCTGGAATATTTAAAAATATAACACTAATTTTTGTTGTTTGACTTCTAATTAATCTTTGTTCGGCGTATTATTTTAACCTGAAACTGGTTTGTTTTGTAGCTCTGATTTAAAGGCTGCTCCAAACATTTTTAAGGCAGTGTTTTATTATGCCATGAGATAGGCCAGCAAGTAAAAAGAAAATTCTAAGTAGCGGTCATTCACAGAAGAAAAGAAAGTACTCTGATGAACATTTAGAGTTATAGTAATGATTTTCATTCACATGGAAAAAGGCATATCTTTAATATTCGTTATTCAGCACACAGGAAAGTTTTATTAAACGGAAGCATGTAATGTTCATTAACTTTCCATCATTAAGAAACCCCGAATGACAGTTACAACAGTTATAAATAAAAGGGAAATCTTTTTTCAGCAAATAACTGAATGTCCTAATGCAATCTTTTATCTATCACCAGCTAACGCAGACAATAAAATTTCAGTTGAAACGTCCTACAGAGTAAGTTACTGGTCCGCTAAAAGTGGTAAAAAACAGATAATTCTTAAAATTTTGAAAGCGGCTTGTGTTAAAGATGCTGTTTAATGGATATTTGGAGAAGAAATTTTCATTGAAATAATACAGTTTGTAGGAGAATTAAGATCACCTTTGATGATATTTAATCGTGAGTATTAGAAACGTAGTCAGCTGTTTTTCTATGCAGATTGCCTAGACATAGCCAAACTTTCCATTTGACTTTTTATTCTAAGATGTATAAGTAGTAAAATGTTGAGAAAAATTTCTTGCTGAGATATTTGCTTTCACAAAAAGGTGTAAATAGTAGGATATTTGTAATACCATTAATAATTACTGTTGTAAAAAGGACGTTGCTAGAGTCAACTATTCTTCTATTTGTACTGATAAGAAACGTCTCTAGCAACATGCCACACAAGTTTACAAGGTACTTCAAAGAAATGCAACCATATTGGTTGGAGTAACTGCTGCATCTGTAATTAATGCCTGTTTACAAACAAACTCTTTCCATTGTCATTGATAAAAGTCGAATATGTAAAAATAATTAATTATATTAAATCAAATGAACTCCGAGTTATTCAAAACATTATACGAAACGATGGCTAGCCTACATCCATCTACGTTTAGCTAACACTACGTTTGTGTACACAAATGATTGGTGAGGGAGAAAATATTGGATAGATGGTTTCTAATTAATCTAAGTTTATCATTCATTACAAATAAGCTGGAAATTTCAAAATGACACTTATGTACTTATTCGATATTTTTCTGAGAAATACGATAAACTGAATTTAGAATTACAGAACAGTTTCCTAACTGCTTTATCCGAAAGTAAGATTAAGGAATCATTTCCTGAAACTGCATATTTACAATATATATTTTGAAACTGCCTAGAGGTCTAATATAATAAGCAGTGCTTTTAGAGTCCTAAAAACCATTAATCAACAGATAGATAATATCTTACAAGATTATTTACACCTTTCGTTTTGATGAATTCGTGATTTAAATAGAAAGGATATTATTCGTTTGGATACAAGTTAAAGCATAATCATCTGCTATCCTTTGCGTGTGCAAAATCTTTAGGTTCTGGAGTTTGAGCATATCAGCCTCTTTTCTGAAGCCTTAGGAGCTCACATTGATCTTCTTAAAAGTCATCCATGTTACTTTTCTCTCACAAAAAACTTCCGTAAAAAGAGCACTGCAATAGTTTTATGTAAACATATAATTAACAAAAACAAATATAATACTTGTATGCAGCATAAAATATGACATAGTTGAGTTCAATTAATGCTTCATAATTTTGTAAATGTGCGTTGACAAAACGGCAGGTTCTATCTCTACGGAAGTAAAAAGTCATGTGATGTGGACACCACATGACTTCCTTCCTTATTAAATTACATACATTTTTGCTGTGTTACATTTAAGCGTATTTTCTTGAGTTTCAATACAAATATATTTCTCATTCAATTAATTCAGTTCTCACTTTGCGGCAAGCCAGAAATACATAAAAACTCAAAACATCTTCATTAAAAATTATAAAATCCAGAAAAACATAAAACTTCAAATAAATAGTTAAGTTAAAGGGGTACAGTACAGTTAAAAGAGTTAATAAAAACAATTTTTTAAATTAAAATTAGAGTTTCTACGCAAAAACAAGCAATTCGGCCTGGATCAAGGGGGCAGATTTTTCGATGCTCAAAAATGAAAGTTTACTTTTCATTCCTCTCTGCAAAAAGACTGAAGTTTGTGCAGAAATTTACTTAATTATCTATTCTACTAGGAGCTTCAAATGTAAACAAACAGAAGCTTAGCTCGGCTTAGTAGCTCTTAAACAACTTTTAAATTATCGATAATTCTACAGCTATTGCATGAAGATTAACTAAAGGTATAAAACCATTAATCGGAACGTAAGAACAACATAATTTAATCACTTTTAAAGCAAAAAATGCCGATTTACCAACATATAGAATGAAAAAAACTTAGCTCACCCAGCAGGGTAACAGAGTGATATATATATATACATAATACCTTTGGTATTGGCGATTACAAGTAAAAGGGAGGCGCACAACTACATGTTATAGCGGTCCCACATACAAAATTTCAAGAATCTGAGGTTACTCGTGTTTGAGTTATGTGAGACACATATGCGCGCACGTAAAGGAGTCATGGAAAACCCTTTCTTAAATCCACTTTAAATTCATTTTTCAATGCGTTTTGGGGAAAAGACGTCTTTTATTATCGAGTTCGTCCGTGCAGATATCACGTAAAAGACATCTTCAGATGGAGTTGAGAGTGGGGAAAATGAGTAGTTTCGTTGAAATGTGATATTCGAAATTTTTCGCGATTACAATATTTCCTTTAGTTCGTAGAAGGAAGTAATAAAAAATATTTGTTTGCATACAACTAATTATCTGCATGATTTCGTTTTTTTTTCTGCATAATAATACTTTCGGAAAAATATGAAAATATGTACATGAAAAATAATGACATACGTATGTGAAACAAATTCTTATACTTCGTATTAAAAGTGAGCGAAGCTGGAAAATCCTTATTTCTTAATAATAAACTGATCATTAAGACGAAATTCCTTACTTTTATGAACTATTTTCTAATGTATAAATAAAAAATTAAAATATAATATTACATTAGATATATATAACTCTAAACTTAGATATATTGATATCAATATTATTAAAATCTTGAAATCTTTGTTAAAATTTTATTTTCACATTCTGTTAATAAGGTATTTAGGTAAGTTTCATTTCCGGTTTTGATTTAACTCAATTGATTTAGAAAGAATGCATTCTTAAAAGTGACTGCTATGTATAGAAACAGAAAACACTGCTAATGTGTTTTTAGAAAAATTTCTAGTAAAATTTAAACGCAAAATAATATATAAATCAACTTCGTTTAAAAAGAGATGTTTCTTTTAATATTCCTTCTTAGGCTTTGGACTAAAAAATTACTTAATATCTACACACTCATATAAACAACTCGTATTAACTCTCTTTTCGTTATTGCTTAATTTCTTTGCATCTTAATTTACAGTACTGTCCAAATCTGAGGATTTGGAGTGACATTTATTCGTATGATGATGGCTTTTTATTATTAAATTACATGCTCTTAAAATTATAGATTTCTACATTGAAATAGGTAGGCGCAAACATAATGGTCAAAAATTATTTACATGAAACATTAATTTTAAATTTTCGAACTTTTCTTTGAATATTTTCATTTAGCTTTGAACGATTAATAATTAATTATAAAAAAACACAGCTTAATAGGAGCTCATAGAAGCAGAGAAACGCTTTAAGAACTATTTTAATTTTTAATCTTGCTGTGATATTAGAAGAAAACAATTAACTACCTACCATTAAGTAGACAGCTTACTTTTTCTGTATATATACTCAGGAATGGACTGGTTTCTAATGCTTACTAAAGCTGTTCATTTGGAAATGGTTGATTGCGTTTCAACAGAAAAATATTTATGACTAATTAGGGTTATAACGTTTTAAAGATTTCTTTTAAGAATTTTATAATTAAGAAATCTTTTAATTGTTCTGCTCTTGTTTTCTCGAACCTCTTGTAATGTGATGTAATATACGAGTGTGCTGCAACCCTCCTGACCGATAATAATCGTCCTCATGGTTAAAGTAGCCCACCGACAAATATTAAAACAAAAACACAGTTAAGAACATCAGATCAAAATTCCTAGTATTGTTCTATTGCCATATATAAAATTTATCAAATCCTTTTCAAATCTAAACTTCATTAAGACAATAGAATTTCTTTATGTTACCATGTTTTTCCCTAACTTGTCGCAATAATACCCAGTCTTTGACGAAATGCCCTGCATTGCCTTCAGCACTACAGACTATTATTTTGCGAATTAAATCGTTTAAAGTGCACTGGGTTGTGCCCGTGTCCAGTAATTATTTAATTGTAATCAAAATCATATAGCATTCTCATCTTTTTAAAAACTTTGTAAGGATTATGTTAATTTTATTAACAGCTAAATTTTGAGTTAAACTTCCTTTCCTATCGATTCTTAATTTCAACTTAACCACTTCCGGCCAGAACGTAGTTTTAGAATCACGTCTGAATGCTAATGAGGAAGAACGGTATTTAACCGCGAAGTTCTTCTGTCTTAGTGAGAGAGATACCAGATATTTTTGGCTGCAGGCGTTCGCCTTTTTAGGCTACTCTCTTGTAAGCTATTATTACGCTCGGCCGTGTTATAGGCCCTTGAGAGCTTCGCAGTCAATTAGCGTTAAGGGGCCAACTCTGTTAGAATCTTGATAGCTTGGGCTATATCTCTTTAGTTAAGATTAGTTTAGTCTGATTCTTAGTCTCTTAAGTTCATGCCTAAGTGTCGGCTTTATTGAACTCCAAGACGATGTTCTGTTAAATCTTATTTGAATAATAAAAGGTCTTTTAACCCTTCCCAAGTTTACTTACCAAGTTTACTTATTGTCTCATGAACTCAAGCGATTATTCGCTTACTAGTTCTTAAGATTCTTCACTTTTAACTGTAACTTAGAATTACACAGTAAAGAATCCTACAACTTCAAAGTTCAACAAATAACCTCTCTTTTTTCCGAAATGTTCCATTTCTCTTTAAAGCAATTATAATAGAAATCCTTAATTTTACCAATAACAATTCTTTTTGGTGCCTGAATATCGAACTCATTCTCGGCATTACCCACAGCAGCCTCTTAGACCAGCATGTCGGCCCTCTTATTGCCTATAACACCATATAGGCTTTCACCCAGTTCATTTTTACATCATGTATTTTCTCAATTTTTACAAGGATATCTTCTATATATGAGACCAAAATATTAGTGCTATCAGAATCTGCTAGTGCTTCCAAACAAGATAACGAGTCTCTATGTATATTATTAATATATGTTTTTACAGTCAGGTTTTTATCAATCCGTTTAAGAGCAACTCTTGTATTATAAAATTTTCTGTAATCATTATACAAGGAAAACGTAAATGGAGTTGATGCTCGTTATAGAAATAGTTTCATTACTACGATCCTTACGTAAAGTTTTCATTTGATGAGAACGTATCAAGTTCATTCTCGTTACAGCGATTACACTTTATAATATCTTTCTCCTTTAGGTTGCAAGAAATCGTTATATAGAGCCTCAGTTGTGTAAAACATATTCTGGAATTAAAAAATTATGAGTTAAATATCAGTTTTCATTAAAACAGAAGTATTTATTGATTACTGTTTTAGCAGCATAGCTTAAAATTTCAAAATACCATAAACTGAGCAATAAACAAATTCTGTATTAAATCTGATATTAAAAAATAGATAAATTTTCCTCAAATTATTAAATATTAATTTATGTTACACACATTTGTTTCTTTCAGTGGAAGTAAATCCTGGAGAGCTAAACTGCAGCCATTACAGATCCTGTGACTATTTCATTGCCACTTTAGAAGAGCCAGATTGTAAATTTGAGTCCCAGTCTTGCTACAGCTGGGATTCTTATTTTCACGGTGGCTGTGGTACATCCGAGCACAACGCATGCATAAGGATGGGATTTTATGCATACGCAGATGCATGTGAATTACAAAATGAAAGGTCTTTAAAACTCTTCGTGAAAACGAAACTATCTCCTCCTTATTGCTACCCGGAATTGTCTAGTGTTCTCGAAGATGCATTTGCTATTTACAAGGAACATCTTTTGCATGCCTATCGAAGTAAACACTGAAAACGTTATGATCAAGGGAGCCTGCATTTTTAGATTTTAAATTGGAAATAAATAATGTATTAAAAATAAGTATGATTGCTTAATTAGAAGCCACGTAACTTAGCTGTATTCTCGCATTAAACTGTAACATGAAATCAAAGGTAACTTAAGTAACTTAACGAAATAACGTAAGTAAAGATAACTTAATGAAGTAAGTTAAATGCGCAATTTTATAGATATTAATCCAGCAGTTTTGTAATAGAAAGCTGCATAATAATAATTCAAATCTTTCAGATTATCTGCAATGTTGTTGAAAGAAAGATCTGAAAACAAAATACTACAAGATTAACAACAATGTGTCGGTAAAATGTAATTAGTCTATTACAAAATTATCAAAGTTTGTATTATGCAAAAAAGACAATTGGTTTAAACTTTAAATTCGAAACAAAGATGTAAATTATCATTTTATGAACTATATATTTATTATAGTGGGATGGTAAAATATTCAGTTTTTTTTTTAAAATAAATGCAGAAAGATGGCCATTAACTGCTTTCTAAAAATTCGTCTTCATGATGTTGAAATATTTGTATTCAACAACTGCTTCCAAATTTCTCAGATTTTGAAATCCTCATATTTATGCTAAATTAGGAAATCAAATTGAAAATTATATCATGATGAAATAATTTGTAACAACAAAGAATTTTTCTTAATTAATCTTCTTTACATTATTTTTAAGTTTTAATTTGCATGTTACGAGAATATAAAATGAACACAAAGTTTTAAGAAAGAATAACACAGAAACTGAAACCGACTACGAATGAAACAAGTAGTTTGGCTTATAAGGTATTTCTCTCGCCTTCGTGGTGTATTGGTTAGCACATTCGACGGATATTTTATAGGTTTATGGTTCGAATCCCGGTGAGAGCATTGCTCATTTTTCATCTCTCCTGTTTTCAAAAATACCTAATATCTCTACAGTCTTCACATTTACATTTTAGGAGAAGTGTTTTCAGAGATTTAGAAATGCAGCTTTTTGCAGCTACTATTAAATGAAAGACGAGTACATCAGCGAAGTTTCGAGAACATACTATTCGCACATATTTTAGACGATTTTGCGTTACTATATAGTTTGCTTGAAATTGTTTTTAACTGCAGTTTTATTTTTGATAGTATAAGCTATCGTCTGCTACATGACAGTTTTGTTTTCACGCAAAATGGCGCTTTTAATGAAGCAGTGCAAAGAAGGCTACGTTTGTGATCTTTCGAAGAAAATTATTCGTATCTAGTTGTCAATAAACGCTGTGAAAGACGTGGGTTTTAGATATCTAAAGTTACGATAATGTTGTCAACTACAAAGGGAAAATATTTGAAAATAAGTTACTAACTTCAAGCGGAAACATTGTTCCAAATATGTAACCAAAGAAAAAACAGAATGCATCGAATGTTGCAAAAGTAAATATAATAAAGATAAAATCTCTAATGTCAAAAAAATTCTGTTAAGTCAAATGACAGCTGCAAAATCCTTAAAATGCTAAGTGTCAACTTTAAAGAAAGTGGTTAATGCTGATTTGAATCTTAAAAAGGCAAATGTGCATCGTCTTTCTTTACGCAGAACATTACCGAATGTTCTCGCTGCAGAATTCTTTATGAGAAACATTTTTCCGGACAAAAATGGAAAAATGTTGTCACAATAGATGAATCTAAGGTTTACGTAAGTAACTGCAGTAAAAAGACATCCACTTAAGATCTTCAAAGACAAAAATAATTTTAAAATATGGTTCAAGGAATCTAAAGAAAGTTTTTTAATGGATTTATGGCAACTTCTGGTTTTCAAATTCAAAAAAATCTGATGTGTACACCACATGACTTCCTTGTATTGGAATATTAAATTATACGCATTTTTTCTTGCATTTCATTTAAACTTATTGGATTGAATTAAATCTACTTCGCCGACAGCGCATAAACCACAAAAGAATAAATGCATTCTTTAAAATTCACTTTAGTATTTGTTTACCATAGCGACACTCTGGCGCTAGATTCCCTTATCAGAATTAGTAATTATATAACAGTTAATTTATATAATAATTATATAACGGAAACTAAGTTAACTGTTATATAATCCAATAATTATATTACAGTTAACTTATATATTTCGTTCATATTATAACTCATAATGCGAAAAATTTATATCATTTAAAGAATAGAATTATCTAATCGTTGCCGCATGTTCTATTCAAATACTATAATAAAGCTAGAATGATGTATAAAAGAAATTAAGCAAACAAAACAAAAAAGAAACAGTTTTTCACAGACGACTGAGTATTTCTCATTTAATTAATTCAGTTCTCACTTCGCGAGAAGGCAAATATACATAAAAACTCAAAATATTTATATTAAAAATTAAAGTAAATTTTAAACACTTATTTCCTCGAAAAAATTCCAGAAAGAATTAAGCATGATTTAATTAGCAATAATAAATGAATGCGTTATCTTTGTTGTTGCGAAGCTAAGTTTCTCTAGATTGGCAACAAATCCACTAGTCTCCTATTTCAAATGTAAACATCAACGGCCGCCATTAAAAAAGGCTTAGCGGCACTTAGACAACTTTAAAATTGTTGATAATTCTAAAAATATTGCTTACAGATTTACTAAAGGCATAAATCCTTAAACGGAAGATAAAAACAACATGATACAATAATTTTTAAAGCAAAAAATGTACGATTAACAAACATATAAGAGTAAAGAAACTCAGATCTCTAAGCCGGGTAACAGAGCGGATATATATATAAATATATTTATATACGTTTGGTGCGGCCGATTGCAACCAAAATACGAGGTGCACATCTACATGTTATAGCAGTCCTATATAGAAAATTTCAACGTTTTAAGGCTACTCGTTTTTGAGTTATGCGAGATACGTACGCAGGAACGTACATACGTTTGTACAGACGCCACCAAAAATTCTCTTCAGAATTCATTTTAAAGCATTTTTTTAGTTTTTTTGGAGGAAAAGAGTCTTTTATTCTGTCCTTACGTACAGATATCACGCAAAAACATCGTTAAATTGCATTCGATAGCGGTCAAAATGGATATTTTCGTTGAAATATGCAGCCTGAAACTTTTCGCGATTACAATACTTCCTTTTTACTTCGTACAAGGAAGTAAAAAAGATAAGAGAGAAAAATGTTAAGATCAACTCTATAGTATTATAAAACATATTTTATACACAGTTTTCAAATGTGAAATACTTCTCTTTACGCACAGCGTGACCATCAGTAGAACTGCATCAAGACAAAGAGAGCAGCGACACGTCAAAATCTACTCTAAATTTCCTGGAAAAAATTTAACAAGAAGCGAGTAACAAGACCATACCCTTCATTCATATCCCTACTAAATCTATGATCTATCAACAATGTATTTTTGCCCTTTTGTGCTTTTAAAAAGCAGGTTGCCTGAACGTCGACTTGCAACCTCCTTAGACTTTAAAAACTGTTCGAGAGCGATGGGATAAAGTACCTCTTCCGATACTGCAAAAGGATTTATTGTCTTGAAAAATACGGTGTATAAAAATTGCGAAGAATAAAGGTTATCAAATAGAACATTTAAAACATAAACATTTTAGTTAAAATATTTTTGTGAATGACCAACGAAAAATTTACGTATGATTCTACGATGAATTTTACGATTTTCAATCTGCTCTCGGACTAACTCTCGCTGACACAGTTTTTTACTTCCTTGTACGAAGTAAAAAGGAAGCATTATAATCGCGAAAAACTTCTGGCATCATGTTTCAACGAAAATATCCATTTTGACCGCCATCGAATGCAATTTAACGATATTTTTGTGTGACATATGTACGTAAGGACAGAATAAAGGACTCTTTCCCCCCCAAAAAATTATAAAACTTATTTAAAATGGATTCTGAAGAGAAATTTTCCTTGCTTCTGTGGGTACGTACGTACATACGTATCTCGCATAACTCAAACACGAGTAGCCTCAGAACGTTGACATTTAGTATATAGGACTGTTATAACATGTAGATGTGCACCTCTTACTTTGTTTCAATAGGCCGCACAAAAAGCATATAAATATATGTATTATATATATATATATATATATATATTCACCCTGTTACCATGTTCTGTAATTTCAGTTTCTTTATTCTTATACGTTTGTAAATTGTGCACTTTTTGCTTTAAAAATTATTGAATTATGTTGTTCTTATCTTCCGGTTAAATTTTTTATGCCTTTGATAAATCTGCATGCGATATTTTTAGAACTATTAACAATTTAAAAGTTGTTTAAGTGCCGCAAAGCCTAATTAGTTTTGCAACGGCGCCAATGTTTGTTTACATTTGAAACAGGAAAACTGCAAAACAATCTAGAGAAAGTAAGCTTCGCAAAAACAAAAATAACGCCTTCCTTTATTATTGTGAATTAAATCATGCTTAATCCATTCTGGAATTTATTCGAGGAAATATGTGTTTAAGATTTACTTCATAATTTTCAATACAGGTATTTTGAGTTTTATGTATTTTTGCCTTGTCGCGAAGTGAAAACTGAATTAATTAAATGAGAAATATTGAATCGTCTGTGAAAAGCCCCCTTTTTTTTTTTTTTTTTTTTTTTTTGTTGTTGCTGTTGTTGTTTGCTTAATTTCTTTTATATATCGCTTTAGATTTATTATAGTATTTGAATAGAATATGTGGCAACGATTAGATAATTCTTAATATGATATAAATTTTGTGCTTTCTGGGTTAAAAAATGGATGAAATTTAACGCTGTTAAGTGAACCTAGGGCTAGAGTGTCAATATGATAATAATAAATTTTAAAGAGAGCATTTATTCTACTATTATGGTTTATTTCTATCGACGAAATAAATTTAATTCAATAAGTTTAAATGAAATGCAAGAAAAAGTGCGTATAATTTAATATTCCGTACAAGGAAGTCATGTGATGTACACATCAGATTTTTTTCTTTTTTTTTATCTTTATTATGCAGCATCACTTTACTCTCAT